TTCTCTTCATCTTAAGTATTGCCCCGAAAAAAAACGCCGATTTTCCCAGTTCCATGGGTCCACCAACGTCACCGAGCTTGATGCAGACAGGTAACTCCTCACTGATCCGATTCACAGCGAAGTTGCGCCGCCCCGCATTGGTGGGCAAAGCGAGGCCCTCATCCGTCCGGACACGGTGGGCCGCAACCTGACACGAAGCTGGGATAGCTGATCATGCTGATCTGATACCATCAGCTTATAGACCAGTGACCAGAATTCTCTACTAGCAGACGCCCTAAGTTACCCCATTTACCCATTAGTTACCCCAACCGCAAGGCACACCGAGTTACCCCAGGGCAGACAGTAGTTACCCCAGGTGTCAAATCCCCAAGGCACAGCGGCTCAGATGCATCATGTTTTGAAGTCGTTGCAAACTTTGAATCATGTTATTAGGTTGCATTTAGCTATGCCCGGAATCAGAATATGGGAAGGTGCGACCTGTCAACTTGGAGTCAAATCTCAATGGCACACCGCCAAAAGCAATTCCAGGTCAAAAGCTTAGCCAAGCATTGAAACAGCATCACCAGCTTGCGTTCTGGTATTTCCAAAAGAAACAAAATAAAGGGTGTCCATTCTCAGAAAAATAAAATCCCACTGGCACACTTGCAGGAGAGTGGAAGACTTTCACGAAGTCGTTGCAGACTTTGAATCATGTCCCTAGTTGCATTTAGCTATGCTAGGAAGCAGAAAATGGGCAGGTGTGACCTGTCAACTTGGAGTCAAATCTCAATGGCACACCGCCAAAAGCAATTCCAGGTCAAAAGCTTAGCCAAGCATTGAAACAGCATCACCAGCTTGCGCTCTCGCATTTTCAAAAGAAACAAATTAAAGGGTGTCCATTCTCAAAAACAACTAAAATCCCAATGGCACACTTGCAGGAGAGGGGAAGACTTTCACGAAGTCGTTGCAGACTTTGAATCATGTTATTAGGTTGCATTTAGCTATGCCCGGAATCAGAATATGGGAAGGTGCGACCTGTCAACTTGGAGTCAAATCTCAATGGCACACCGCCAAAAGCAATTCCAGGTCAAAAGCTTAGCCAAGCATTGAAACAGCATCGCCAGCTTGCGTTCTGGTATTTCCCAAAAAACAAAATAAAGGGAGTCCATTCTCAAAAAACAACTAAAATCCCAATGGCACACTTGCAGGAGAGTGGAAGACTTTCACGAAGTCGTTGCAAACTTTGAATCATGTCCCTAGTTGCATTTAGCTATGGTAGGAATCAGAAAATGGGAAGGTGCGACCTGTCAACCTGGACTCAAATCCCAATGGCACACCGCCAAAAGCAATTCCAGGTCAAAAGCTTAGCCAAGCATTGAAACAGCATCGCGAGCTTGCGTTCTGGTATTTCCAAAAGAAACAAAATAAAGGGTGTCCATTCTCAGAAAAATAAAATCCCACTGGCACACTTGCAGGAGAGTGGAAGACTTTCACGAAGTCGTTGCAAGCTTTGAATCATGTTCCTAGCTTGCATTTAGCTATGCCCGGAATCAGAATATGGGAAGGTACGACCTGTCAACTTGGAGTCAAATCTCAATGGCACACCGCCAAAAGCAATTCCAGGTCAAAAGCTTAGCCAAGCATTGAAACAGCATCACCAGCTTGCGTTCTGGTATTTTCAAAAAAAACAAATTAAAGGGTGTCCATTCTGAAAAAAACTAAAATCCCAATGGCACACTTGCAGGAGAGTGGAAGACTTTCACAAACAAAGTTTGAAATTAATCACATTGAAATCACACCCTGCCCTGCTGTAACGGAATCCGAGACATATGGAATATGGATGTAATACCAGAATCATGACTCTGGAAAGGTTTTTGGACGAGGTACCGGACGAGATACCGGACGAGGTACCGGAATTACATCTTGCCATCCCAGCCAGAACCCACCCCACATATCCCCACGTCAGATCAAAAACTGTAAATAGTAAAAACGATGTGGATAGGTCCGAAAAATCCAAGCAATAAGGTCCGGAAGATGAGGTGGAGGAGGATAATGTTGCGGAAGATGAGGTGGAGGATGATGATGTGGAGGATGATGAGGTAGAGGATAACGATGTTAAGAAGGAGGAAGATAATGATGTTGAGGATGATCATGTTGAGGAGGAGGATGGAAAGGATGATAATTAATATTGCGGAAGAGGAGGTGGAGGAGGAGGATGTTGCAGAAAATGAGGTGGAGGATGACGATGTTGAGGATGATGATGTCAAGGGGGAGGACGAGGATGATGCTGAGAATGATGATGTGGAGGAGGAGGAAGATGATGATACTGAGGAGGAGGAGGAGGAGGAGGAGGAAAAGGAGGAGGAAGAGGACCGATCACAAGACCCCCGAGTGTGTACACACTGTGTGGGAAACTCACGTTGCTCCAGGGATTGTTAGGGGGCAAATGGATATAACTTGACACAACTAATGTTTGCCATGTTAAGAATCCCTGCGTGCCTGTGCGTTGTGCTGTAAAGATCATACCGAATAACAAATCATGTAGTAATTCATTCCAGTGGTTGTGTCACTTCTTCCGCATGGCACACCGAGATGAGACAACAAAGTGCTATCTGAGACAAGAAAGGGCTTACCCCATCATTGCGAGATCGCTTCTTGCGGGGGGGTACCATTGCCATTGAAACACCAATCAAAGCAATCTTGGGCCAAAGTGCCCAATCATTCGCGCATCTGCTGATCTTTGCAGATTGAATTTAGCTTGTCTAAACCTCATTTTGTAACAATATACCATTCCACCAAAAGCCAAAAGGCACCGCTAAACTCCATAAAAGTAACCCAGGGATTGTTAGGGAGGCACAAATGGATATAACTAATGTTTGCAATGTTAAGAATCCTTGCATGCCTATGCGTGGTGCTGTAAAGATCATACCAAATGACAACTCCATTCCAATGGTTGTGTCACATCTTTCGCATGGCACACCGAGATGAGACAACAAAGTGCTGCCTGAGACAACTTAGGGCTTTCACCAAGTACCTTGGGATACCTTGGGTTACCTTGGGGGGGGGACGATCATCCCAATATATTTGGATGATGAGAGGTTGTGAGCCTGCTTTTCAGCTACTAGATCAAGGTGAAGCCACCAAAAACCTGGTACCCCTGCTGCTGAGATTCCACAGGTCCTGCCATAAAAGTCGATGTTGGGAAGTGCCAAAATACTTACCCTCTGGTTATTTAACATAGCCATGGAAAATCCCCTATAAATTGATGTTTTCATGGGAAAATCATCTATAAATTGGCCATTTTCCATGGCTATGTTAAGTAACCAGAGGGTATTTTATGTGAGTGGCTCTTATATTTCTTTGCTCACATCCGTATGGTGCCTCAGTCGCAGTCATGAACCATGCTATTGACATCCATGGTTGGCAACATGGCTGGTAAAAGCGACCAATCCGGAGAATCCACTTGCATATAAACACTCATGTTCGGCTTCATCCAGAGGCATCCAAATGATTGACGCCCCAGTTCAAATCACCCCTGTCTGAAGCTCCTCAGCATGCTCATTGCCGCTACATCAATCATTGAGATTCAACAGGGTATACCATTCAGGAACCGTTGCAGCGTTATGAACTTGGCCAAGGTCTTGCCGCACCACGCCTGTGGTTTGAGCACCGCAAAACTTGATGACCCCAGCAACGCCCAAAGGGGAGCTATGCCCAGAATCAGCAGCCACAGTATGCTGCGCTGCGCTTGCTGTCTCCACACTGCCATGGTCACAGTCCCAATGGGCAGAAAGTGATTTCACGTGGATCGTGGAGGGTCAGAATCGACCTGCTTGGTTGTGAACCAACCAAATATTGTGAATCAACAGGATTTTTGATTGCGGAGAAATAGACACTATATTGGATTCAGTGTTTCCTCTTGGCAAGATGTAGTTCGTGCCTGTTGATGGCATGTAGCGTTAGGTATAGTATTTTCTTTGGCTTGTCTGATGTATTCGTGCGAGACCACTCTTTACCTTGGTTCACATGCTTGCTTTCTTCAAGTCCTTAAGTTTCTACGATATATTCCTAGAACTATACATTATTACATTATTATATAGATAACATAATGGGATATATAACTGATATATGTCCAACCTTGACACATACAAAATATTGGTCCGTCATGCCCTTGTTATGTCATCTCTGTATGTCGCCTGAGCAGCTGGGTAAGTGGGATGGTGTACACTTCACCTGCAACTCTTCAGACATCTTCCGCATCTTTTCTGTTGCATTACCCTCTGGTAAACATACAAAAAACTCATTTTCAGTCGGTAAATCCACTATAAATGACCATTTTCAATAGCTATGTTAGTCATTACCAGAGGGTATCTTCCAGCGTCATCAAACATGGCTTTAACAAAAAATCACCAATTTGCCAATGGTTCGATGATTTTCGCGAACTAAACCTCCATGGCTAGTGGGGTCTTTCACAGCTAGCCGCTAGCCACCTTGGATAACACCCAATGATCCTATTGCTTCACAACATTTCCAGCCTAGGTCAACCGGCTCTAAGCCACAATGGCTTTCCAAAGTTCCCGAAACAACTCAGCAATAGCTACAGCACTTGAATTTCCAGAACATTTATTAACATACAAGTAAGCGTTCGTGCCGATTATCAATGACAGTCAGAGAACGAGAACTGGGTCATATTAATTGATGCCACACGAGGTCACAATCCTAACCCATGGTGGCATCAGAATTCTCCCAAAATCGAGGGGATCTTCGGAGTATTTTGGCAGTTCCAAAGTAATCATCCACGCTTAAAATTGGCTGTTAGATGGTTGTTCGATTCTTATGAGATGATATGAGTATATCACCAATTCATTTTCATAGAGGGTACCCTCTGGTAAACATACAAAAAACTATGGAAAATCACCATTTTTCATGGGAAAATCAACTATTTCTATGGCCATTTTCAATAGCTTTTTGTATGTTTACCAGAGGGTATTCCACCTTTTTTCTTCGCAGCACCAAGTTGCCCTAGTGCGGATGCAATGTACTCCGCACCACTGTCACCAATGCCTCACGGCGATTTTTGGGGTGACCCTGCAATAAAAACCACCCTGGATTTACCATCAAACATTGGGACTTTAACCATATTTAAACAATGGATCAGGAATTTTGGTGTGTCTGAAAATAACATCTCATCTGTTTTTTCAGACAATATTAATGGTTATCTGAATGAGGAAATTCACATGATTTAAACCATAGGTTTCGATAGATTTAGATAGATTTAGATAGATAGATTTACAGGTACCACATTTTCAGACAAACCTCCGGCAATCAAACATGGTTTGCTGAAAACTCCCATATTGGTTGTTTTTCTGTCTATTAAAAGAGATTTACCTAGCAGCTACGTTTGATGACACAAGTGGGTACATGTGCATGCAATATGAAAAACATTCATATCCCCATTAAACACCCCCATTAAACATCATTAAACCACCATTTTGACAACCCCAAAGGGCTAAATTTATGGTTTCATAATCTTCAGGAAGGCCCCAACAGCCCAACAGCTCGAGAGGGAACCCCGGCCGTTGCCCGTCAAGTCGAGAGCGGTGAGCTTGGACTTGGGCAGCATCTCCTCAGTGTGGTTTGTTTTTTTTTCCGGAGAACTCTCTGGCATTTGTTTCCAGTTTGCTATTGAAAATGGTGATTTATAGTTGATGTACCTATGAAAAATGGTGATTTTCCAATTCGCAAACTCTTAGTTTACCAGAGAAATCAACCAGTTTTGGTCAATGAAATTTGGTTTTGTTTGACGTCGCAAGTTTGGAAGATGGGACATTGCCAGGAGAAGGTCAGAAAATGCATGGGACGGTTGATATGAACTGATGCTCAAGTGAGTTTTTTTGAAAATAGGTTCATCATTTTCAGGTTGAAATTGTCATTTTGGACAGCAACATATTATACTGTTGGCTACATTTATTCCATCATACAGCTCATATATATATATATCCCCAGTATTATCCGATGATTATTCCTTAAACCTCTGGTTTTATCAAAGTTGTATGCAACTCAATATCCCAATAGATATAGATTATCTCAATGATATCCATATTTTGGGACCCAAAGTATCATTAACATTACCCTCTGGTAAATTAACATAGACCCTGAAAATCACCATTTTTTAGAGGAAACTAATCTTCCAATCCCTATCTACCAGGGTCTATGTTGATTTACTGGAGGGTAACACTATCCCCAGATTATCGCCAGGACCCAAATCGGGGCTTTACCAAGGCTCTGCCAGAGCCTTAGTACCGTCAGCTCCCAAGTCGTTCCTCGGTAAATTCAGAAGGCCTGTTGTTAAAAAAAAAGTGCATTTATTAACCACACATTAACCCACATCTGGAATTATTAAACACCTATAAATCTTAATTACTGTGAATTACTGCAATCTATTAAAAAAATGATGATCAAAGTTCAAACCCGCAGATTCTGTGATTAATGACTTATGTCTGGTAGAGGCCAACGTATTTGGGTCCACAAAAAAACAACTCTTTTTTAGGTAGTGAGTTGCGGTGTCAGCAAACTGCGGCGTGATTGTTTGCCATCAACGTGGCTTGGCAGCCTGATCTGTAACTACTGTGGATGCGAAATCCAAAACACCAGTTGGTAGATGGTTTATCCTGTTATAATCCCATTATTTCCAGTGTTTCATCACTATCAGTAGTTACAAGCTGGTGCAGGATTTTCGAAAAACCATCCGCAGCAGGTTTCCGCTGATCTGACATGACCAAGCTTCTGTTGCAGCAGCAAAACTTGCAGAGCCTGACGGCGCTTTGTTGGCGCTGGAACATGCTGAGATAGCTGAGATCGCTGCCACTGAGTCACTGGAACATGATGGACCTGATGGAGCACCATTAAGATAGAAACTCATTGGAAACAACCAGCTGCAGCTACTGACTTTGACCCATTTCTAGAAGCACAACTCCAAGTTCTCCGGCTTTTCCAAGTTCCTCTTTCCAACATTTTTTGTTGATTCGATTTCCTTTGAAACAAAGGGGCCTCGCATTTGCAGCAACTCTCACAGAGTTGTTGCGCATCGTCGGGCCCCAAGCGATTTCCCGCCAGTGACAAACTGTTCACGGTGGAGCTCTCCTGGCTAGTACGGTGCGGCAGTGCCGCCCGTGAGAGGAGGTGGCAATCCATATCAACATCAATATCAATATGTTTCACTCCAATAAATAAGTAAGTGTATAAGTTAAGTAAGTAAACACAGTAAAGACATAAGTTGACGTAAATAGATAGTAACATATAGTAACAACATATGGTCAGGCCATCTAATTCTAGGGGAAGTGTAGAAATCCTCCATTTCTCATATTTCTCATGGCCTCCCAAAGAATTGTATCGCCGAGATTATGGGTAGGTCAGTCGTGATCACCTCCACTTTCCAGCTGGATGTGAAAATGGAGGAAACCCCTTCACAAATGGCAATCATTGGCAATCTAATAAGGAACACTATAGGGTTTTAAACCATCATATCTTTTTTGGAGTGTTCCTCCAAATTTTACCAACTCATACCAACATGTCAAACCGAATTTCGGACCATGTACACATGGTACACTCTCAGGTTTTTTTTCTCGGGTACCTTGTTGCCAGCAACCATCTCTGAAATCTGCCGAGTTGCTAGGGCACTACACATCAACTCAAATCCTTGCGGCCCGATCTCATTTCTTGCCATGTCCAAAAACACCACACCTGACCGGTGAAACGGTGAAACGTTGGTCAGGTGGGGATCATGGGGTGCAAAAGTTTTGCCACGGTCCCTTCCAAAAAAACATGCAACAAAACATCAAAACACAAGGGAAAATCCATCATGAATGTAGATAAATATCTAGGGAAACCATGGATTTGCATGGATTTCTATATCTATCTTAGTCTAAGTACAGTAAACGGATTCCTGAATTGAGTCAGAATCCATCCCAACGCAGCATTAAACATGTTGGAAACCACCAGCCAGATCAGTGGTAGATGGATGTCAATGAGATCTTTCGTGGACCTCCATGGTGCTATGTTCAATATAAATCGCCCGGGGCTTAGTCATGTTCTCCCCTTGAAACCCCGGCCTTCTGCTTTCAACCTCAAAATGCAAATGCATTAAATGCATGCAATTGAATACACTGATTCACAAAGCCACTGGATGTAGGATATTGTGTAGCATGAGATGATTAAATTTGCCTATATAATATATTATAATATGATATAATCCCATCCCCCCAAAATCAAACACCCCGATGGTAACCTGCTATGGTCCCAATGGAATGCGGAAATCCCCCGGGGATGGGGTTAGTTGATGATTTCAACCCATCTCAAAACAATTAGAGTCACAACTGGGATCGGGATGGTGCTGATCCTTTGAAATGACCAGCCGCCACATTCCCCTAATACTAACTCATATCATGTTTGAAAAAACATGTAATTATATATATTCTGATATGTGAATTGTCTCAAACATATTTCTGTCACATCTGGGTACGCGGGATTGCTATACTAGTTATTGCTAAACTCTACTAGCACCATATATATTCACCATAGAAAGACATGTTGAAACACATTTTACAACTCTAGCTGGTGATACAAACTATAAAACCACTAGAACTATGTTTTTTGTTTTGTACAGTTGCTATAGCTATATAATTCAAAAATAATATATAATATACTATACGTATGATTATTACCTATTAGTGTTACGGTACTATATACTAAAATATGTCTGTTTCATGATCACAGTTATAGTTCATCACTATGTAGCATATCCATAAATTACAACTACAAGCTACCCGGCCTGGTAAACATACAAAAAACTATGGGAAATCACAATGTTTAATAGGTAAATCAACTATTTCTATGGCCCTATGGCCATTTTCAATAGCTTTTTGTATGTTTACCAGAGGGTAAACCTCCATTTTCCTATGGTTTTCCTATGGTTTTCCTATGGTTTTTTGCTTCACCAGTTCCCCTAAGGCTCGGACAGCCGTCGGAACCCCGCCTGTGCCCTTGGTGGCCAGCAGGATTTGCTCAGCTCCGCGGCCACAGATGCGGTTGCTACTGACGTTCAAACTCGTCAAGGATGACCTGCCGGAGACTCGCGATACCGGGAAGGCCCCGAAGGCCGAAGGCCGGGTAGACCTATGTCTTTTTGTGGATGATATACAGTACCCTCTGGTAAGTTAACATAACTATGGAAAATTACAGATTTTTCATGGGTTTTTTTTCACTGTCAATGGTGATTTTCCATAGTTAGTTTACCAGAGGGTACTTTCATAAACCAACTTACAGCCGCTTCAATTGTTTTGCCACACATGTTAAACATGAAATTGTGAGGGATTTTCATTGAAGATCATTGAACATCCGCACGAAGGGCGCTCTCCTCGCCAGCCCCGTTGCGAGCACTTCAGCTCCACCAATCCCCAGCCTCGGAGTGCGGAAGCACTGGGAAGGACTTGATCTGTGAATCAAACATACCCGGCCTGGTAAACATACAAAAAGCTATTGAAAATGGCCATTTATAGTGGATTTACCCATTGAAAATGGTGATTTTCCATAGTTATGTTAAATTACCAGAGGGTAAATCCGAAAGACATCCCAAACTGTTTGATTCAACTTGAAGAAGTGGAACTAGTCTTGCTACGTCTTGTTTATTCTTGTTGGCCGTCCCCAAAAAATCTAGAGCATGACACTTGGAAGGCAAGGCCTACTGTACAGCTTTACAATATGCTTTCCTTTCCAACATGTCAACAATATTTTCTTTTTCCGGACACATAAAACAAGCACATTCGCCCTGCGTACTGCCCTACCATGAACAGTCTTGCTTGCTGATGTGGACAAGGCACTGATTGGCACTGAGATCCAAGTGCTGCAACGTTCCTCATGGATGTGTCCCGAAGGAACCTATATCTAATATAATATAATATAATGTAATGTAATACAATATAGTTTATAACACAATATAATATAGTAAAATATAAAATCATATAAGATAATATATGTACTATAATATAATACAATACCATATTATAATAAAATAACATATAATATCACAAATTATATTATATATAGAATGATATATGTATGTATATCAATAGTGGTTTCCGCTTCACAAAGGATACATCCGGAGCCACATGACAAAAAGTGATGCAGTGAAGGGCATATTTTAGGTGTCTGTTACAAACGGCTAAAGCTTTGGCACCAAGTACTTAGCTCATCACGAATCGCATACCCTCTGGTCGTTAACAGTATGGAAAATCAAACATCAACTTATATATCTTATATTGAGAGTAGTAAACCATCTATTTTTTTGGCAGTTTTCCATATAGCAAAGTGTTAGATTACCTCATCGGGCGACATCAGTAGCCGCAAAACACTGCCAGTCCATAAGAACATATGGATCTGTTCATGGGGTATACCCGAAAATTGCCACCTGGATAAGGACACAACATGGGAAGAATGATCTTCAAAACCATGGGAGTGTTGAGTGCATGTTGTGTCCTCCCTGGTTCCCTTCCGAAGCTAACCCAGGCACCATTTTGGGGCAGGCTTTCGGCCAAAGATGTGATGCCCGCGGTGAAAATGCAATTTCCCTGGAGTTCCTTGAGGTTGGAAGTACCACTGTTGACATGGCACCAGTGGATTTGGGTATGGGTTTCTTGACCCTCGAAACGTGGTGAACACGTTACGAAACCTGTTCTTTATTGATGTTCATTCCCCCAAAATCTGGTATATTTGTTTCTATCATCTGGATAGGTTTTGATCCATCGATTCGAAGGGACATTTCAAGTACCCAAATTGGAGATCCCTGCCATATGATTCACTGGCAATTCTTGAGGACAGCACTGCTGAAGGACTTTGCTCAAACCACGGATGTCAGGCAATACGCTGTTGATCACCCGTGCGAACCAGTCTCGATCATCGATAAGTGGGAAGAGGGGTTAGACCCAAGCTAGAAATGGCATAAATACGCAACATATGTTTATATAATGGGCAAATGAAGTAGGGTTATTAACCACTTGCGATCTGTAGGATGATCTTCCATTCACCGTTCCAGCCCCAGTGGCCAGTTCTTGGATGCTTTGGTTGGCTCCCAGCAATTTCGCCAGGGCAATGATGGCATCGTCGCCTCGGCCACCCAAACCATGCTATATTCAGAAACCATTAGGAACGGGAGGTGACTTTTGAAAACTGTTACAATTATTTTTTTTCCAATTGTGGAACCTTCCAAATCCTGCCCGTGTCATTGTGTTTTCCCTGCAAACATGCTTTCTTTGGTTGGGGTTTCGGGTAACCCGTATTTTTTTGAAAGAAACCCCTTTTGCACAGAAAACATGATTAGAAAACTACAAACAAAATGTAAGTATACCTGAATTCTTGCATTCCATTGTGGATGGACTGTATCAATTTTCACGAGTCGGAAAGACAAATCGTACCAACTATTGGGTTTAATTAATACGTTTACCCACCTTTCTGGGGGTTGCTATCATGGGTACACGGAATATGTGAATTATATAGGCTATGGCCATCCTTAATGTTTCCTGTGAATCTTTATGTTGGTCATGACAGCTCTCTATTAATAGTCGTATGACCGTGCACCTGCAGTGAACACGGATTAATCTAATCCAAATTTTGACAACCCTTGATAAATCACTGATTTCAATACGTTATACAGTAGCTCCCTTAGTTGCACAACATCTTTCAACACCACATTTTGTTATGCTAAAATTTACCCATGGGACAACATGGCCCGCCAGAAAGCCATGGCCCGTGCTGATTTCCAGGCCGACTCACAAACTTATTTTGATGTACATATATACATAATTATAAATATGATTATATAATAATATGTATAAATATATATATATATTTATAAGGTGGTGCTCCATTTTTAGCATAGTTGGCTTATCTAGCTTACCCTTACAGTAGTTGGACTATAATTTAATATGATCATATATGATCTAGCTGAATTCAATTTAAGACGGTTTCAAGGTTTTCTCCTAAAAAAAAGGAGAACCGGATGCGGCGGTACGTATTCAAATCCTGAGTGGCCGCTCAGCTATAAGCAAACATATATGTCTGTATATATACATACCCTCTGGTAATTTAACATAGCTATGGAAAAGGCCCATGTATAGTGAGTTTTCCCATTAACAATGGTGATGTTCCATCGTTTTTTATATGTTTACCAGAGGGGAAAAAACCTCCATTTTCCTATGGTTTTCCTATGGTTTTCCTATGGTTTACACGGCCAAGGCCACACGTTTCAAAAACGCTTGGCAAGAGGTCGGTGCCAGGTCATCTGCCTTTTAGCTTCATCACCGAGCCGCTGAGGTCATTGTCATTCATGACCAAACGCTTCACCAACTTGTTATTCATCAGGTGCTCACACATCTTTGCACCTCCAATGTTGATTGGCCATGGCGTTTTTAGTGAAATAACTGGTTATTTCTATGGGATAAAAAACATTCTATTTTGATGGGGTTTTGTTAGTACTTATAACTGGTATTTCGGGCCTTAACTGCAATTGTGATTTTTTTGGAGATCCTGTGGAATGTATGATGATAATGATTTTTTTGATTGTTTTGGAGATTCCCAATGGATAAATGACTAAGGTTGCCTCCAATGCTGTTTTTTTTGGAGATCCTGTGGAATGTATGATGATAATGATGATTCACAAGGGATAAACTAAGGTTGCTACTACTCTTATCATGCTTGAACAATAATTATTAACCACTTGATAGTTGTGATATAATATAGTAATATAATGGTTTGCCATGTTACTATATATTACTAATATATAATAACATGGCAAACCCAATAATAAACCACCCCCAAAAAATCATCAGACATGATTCCTGCGTATAAACATCTATAAACCATCCCAAATGGCAGCGAAAATGGCATTGGCTTTTTCCCACATTAACCATGATTGTCAGTTCTTAACCACTATGAACCATGATTCACCATAAACTGATGAAATTTAATCAGTTTAACCAAACCCATTTCGGTATATCATGATCAGTGATGATTGGGTTTCCCATGCTTTCCCAGCAACAGTATCCATACGACGAAAAAAACCAACCAAAAAAATCCTCAGCCCAAACAGGATCCTCAGCATTTTTTATAGCGGCTCCACTAGAAGATCATCAATCCCACAAGGTGGTGCCCCAGTTCGGAATCGCTAAGTTGGGGTTCACATAACTCCCAATAAACCTATATGGTTTATGGCAAATATAACTATAGTTAATGCGGGTTATAAACCAACTTATAAATGTTCATTCATAAATGAACAATGGCCAATTCCACAATCATTAATGGGAAAATCAACATAATGAACAGAAAACCATTCAACTCACATTAATTCCCATTCAATGACAACTGGTTGGTGGTTTCAACAAACCCCTCTGAAAAAAAATCATCAGTTGGGATGATGAAATTCCCAATAGATGGAAAAAAAATAAAAAAATGTTCCAAACCACCAAGCAGAATCACATAAAATCACCATATCTTCCAAATCTGCCGGAATACCAAAGCCCCTCCCGCACCTCCCTCGTCTCCCAGAGCGTTGTCACTCACATCCACCGACAGGATGTTGTGCTTCTCGTCCTCACCCATTTTCGGATGTGCATCCCACTTAGGACCTGCGGTTTATAATGCAAACGCCATATATGTTATCCCATATAGAAGTGATTCCATATATAATTGGGGGTATAATCCATTTATAATCCAAGTGGGATGACATCTATGGATATATATATGGCATATTCCATACAAAAAGTGGGGATATTCCATGTAAAAGTGGGATGGGTCGATCTTAGAAGCTCATCTTTGATAGGTTTGCCTTGGCTTGACTGGAGACAAAAACAAATTAATCTTCCAAGTTTGTTGATCTTGATCAGTTTCCTCATCTTCACAATGTGAGGCCCCCTAGACAGCTAAGTTGGTTTATAACTCCAATAACTATGGTTTATGGTACTTATAACTATAGTTACTGGGATTATAAACCAACTTATAACTTGGGGGGCACCACCTTGCACGATTCACCTATCTTCCTTCGCTTAAAACTATACGAGATCCTTACATCTTTGACCAAGTGACCTCAGGTCACGCTCCATCATCTTCGGCTACTTTTCCTACCTTTAGAAAGCATGTTAAAGCGTCATTTTCTGGCTCAATTATGCTCAATTATCAAGTTATTGATTGATTTTAGTATGTTTCAATCAGACAAGATTTCCGGAAAAATCATCCTCAACTTGGACGATAATCTGATAACTCCCCATCATTTCCCTGTTTGAACCGTAATTTTGTTAATTGTGATATCCCACTATGAAATACTATGTCAAGAACATAATGGGATATCATGAAGAATGGACGTTATGTCAAAATATGTGTTGGGGGTATCTTTAGATATTCATAATCCATCCATTAAAAAAAATGTATATATATATATATATTATAATATACACCCCAACATGTCAATATGCCCAATAATCAATCAATATGTCAATATACCCATAATCCATACAGTATTGGTCATAATCATACACATACCCATTGGGATAATCCATAATCCATCCATTAACATCCCTGAACCATCCAGGCATTGCCTGACACACCCACATCTGCATGTCATCACCCACCAGTACAACTTTACAGAATCACCTTTTGTATAGCAAATTCATCGCAAATCATCTGTAAATCTGGCATTTCCCATAGCTATGTTCAATAACCAGTGGGTACATCCCCATTCATTAGTGTTTACACCGCTATCCAAGTTATCCCTCATAAAGATTCTAAGTTAAGTCACCAATATATATATACTGGTTGGTGGTTTTAACCATCTTGAAAAATATGAGTTCGTCAATGGGTTTCGGATGACATCCCATATATATGAAATGGACGTCATAAAATTCCATGGTTCCAAACCACCAACCAGATCACCATTCTTCAGAGATCCATTCACCCAACGGTTATCCCTTAGGGATCTCCGCCTGCAAGGCATCTTTGATCGTCTCCAGCATCGCTGCATCCAGTTCCGCTCCCCGCAGGTTCAGCTCCGCCATGTTTTTAAGCGTTTTTTTGGGGATTTTGGTCACCAAAAGCCCCAAATGATGTGGATTTCAAGAAGAACATGTGGGTTTTGATGGGTTTTGATAGGAGTCGTGATGGGGATTTTGGCCGCCAGAAGACGCCATGTCGATTAGGCCAACCATCGCAAGCTTTTGCGCCATTCTGGTCAGCATGGAAAACAACCAATAGAAATATGGGGATAGGATAGCTATGTCATTTGTAATGAACATCTATCTGGGTAAATTATAATATTTCACTAACCTGAATAGTTCGGCCATGAATGGGGATGATTCCCCTATAAAAAACTATGATTCCAGGGTTCGGGAGAACAGGGTTCGGTCGTTATAATTTACCCAGATCTATGGGTCAAGATCAGGTAACCACGTTCTATAGGCTACGGCGGCCATGTAACAACTTGAAACTTCTGGTGCCGCCTTTCACGTTGATCCAAGCCCATTTCTGACGAGATGACGAGATGGTGTAGTTGTAGCTACCATCCCATGGGATCATCATGTATTGACAACTGTTGACAATGGTGATAGATAGTTGTATGGTGATATATTATGGTGACTATGGTTATAAGGTTATATTATATAGAGACTATATTATGATATATTTTGTTGTACCCAAACTGATTGGGTGGTTTGGCTGATTATTCACCAAAAAACAAATGACAAATGTTTGGATGACTTTTTGGAAAACTTGATCGGCACAGAATTTTTGCAGGACCGAGCAGGTGGTTGGTATCATCTGCTATCGGCAAAGTTTTCTTCCCGTCTCGTTCAGCTGAACGGACTGTCTGGATCATGTGTTCGAGACCTGAAAGCTTTTGCAATGGCCAAACTTGCCAGCCCATACCAGCCATATTCAAGCACGGCTTACACGCCCCAATAAACAATGAGATTCTAAAAGGACTTGAAGTCCTTCTTATGTTTCAGAGACATATGTCGACAGAATAAATCACCCAGACTGGCAATGTTGAGCAAGTACAGTACGTAAAATATGTCTTAAAGCAAAAAAGAGTGACCTAACAGTTCAAGGAACCAGAACGCGAGAATGATTTGCAAATTATATTCGACTGCAAACATTAATAGAGGTTCTCAAAATAGTGATATATGTCCGTTGATAAAAGGTACCTTTGTTGGTGTTGGGCAACAGATGCCAAAATCATAAAATCTTAGATAACTTAGAATAGTCCTTGCCAATATTGATAAAACATACATCATATTTCCAGCTGAGAGAGCTGGGATGACGCACTTAGTATTTAAAAGATGTTGAAACTCAAAAACACCCTCTGCAAATTTAGATAGCTCTGGAAAATCACCATGTTTATAGGTAAAAATCATCTCTGAATGGGTAATGTTCTATAAGAAAACTATAAGAAACTGTCGAATTTCTGAGGATATCCTGCATCCAACGGGAGACACAGCAGTTCAAACATGTTCAAACCATCCCATGCTCTGAGAGACCCCTGCCACTGCCATCACTGCCGAATCAGCGACTTCCTGCGTTCAGTTGCAAGGTGGGCGACATCCAGTTCAACAGATTTTAACATACCCTCTGGTAATTTAACATAGGTATGGAAAATCACCATTTATAATAGGTAAATCAACTATAAATGATCATTTTCAATAGCTATGTTAAATTACCAGAGGGTACCTTAACAGGTGAACAATCACTATGTCAATTTATTACGAGTTCTGGACATTCACGACATTCACGACACTGTTTAACATGAGTTATGAACGATGACTATTGTTTAGGTGAATTCTCAATCTAAACGAGCCATTTTCGGTAGCTATGTTCAATTTCTAGAGGGCAATCTATTGAAAGATGAGTCTTTTACAAATTATGTGATATACGTTTCAGACTTTCTTTTTCTTTTTGAAGCCGTTCAACAGAAATGAACACATATAATATTGAATTTCAACATAATTGTTGGCACCAAAAAAAAAATCACTTGGTCCCACTGGTTGCATTCCGTGGGGCCACTGATTTCTGTAAGATCTGTCAGCTGCCCCGTCGTCCCGTCCAGCTGGCGATGTTCGACTTTGCGCTTGGCCCCTGCAATTGTGAAGGACTCTGAGGAATCTAAGGATGTAATTTACTGTACATTAGATGTCGGGTATAAGTGTAAAATATTCTATAATTGAACAACATTATTGATACTCATCATTTTCGGATATATCGTGATGTATCCAACGTTGCGTACCAAAGTACAGTATGATCGATTGTACTTAGGTACGCAAGCTTATACTTGGATATACATATATATATGTATATATATACACATATATGTATATATATATGTATATATATATGGTACATTTTGGTACATGCACAACAAAAGTGTAATGTTCCATCTCTCATGGGGCACAGGAATCGTCAGAGATGAATCAAATGACATCAAATTGACGGGGTCATAGCCCAATAAACCACGGGTCAAAAGTGTCATGTTACCCTCTGGTAATTTAACATAGCTATTGAAAATGACCATAGACATTGGATTTTCCCATTAAAAATGGTGATTTTCTATAGTTTTTTGTATGTTTACCAGAGGGTAAGACATGTGACCATCACCCTATAGCTCATCGCCAGGCAGCCGCACCTTTCCTTGTGCTCTGCGCTGTGACTAAGGCATTCATCTCCTCGATAGGCAGAACGGGAGATGGGCATGGCTTCACGACTATCGCCATTGGGCATTGAACTAAGAAAAATTGTCATTTTATGGTGATTTAACTGACACAAATTGTTGTTTTAATGGGATTAAAATGGGATTTAAAAGGGAACAAATTATGACGATTTAATAGATGGTGATTTTATGATATTTTATGTTGAAATTACAGTAACTAACAAAAATGGTGGTGATTCGCGGTTCCAAGGGGATATATTGGGGATATGAATGGAATAGTAATGTTTTTTTTGGGGGGGGATGTAGCCTCCAGTAATCAAACATGGCTTGCTGGAAATCAACCATGTATACATCATGGTTGCCATGTTTGATTCCCAGATGGCAACTGGATTCATTTTGCCAAGATATCGAGAAGCACCACGATACTGGAGTAGCCCAGTTAAGAATGGTGGATATGTTGAATCCAACACAACTTGATATCTAAAGTAGGCTAAACTATGGTCTTCATCAGAGTCTTAATCCTAAGGCTCCATTCATTTCACAGACTTGAGACCTAGATCTTCGGCATCAAACACAAAAAAAAACACGCAGCTGCTGCCACAAACAGCAAAAAAACAACAAACTCCAACTCTTCCTGTTGGCAGTCATATCAAGTCATCAAGTCATTCAATCAAATTTCTTTGGCTTGGGGGGAACTATCCGAACTATCCGTAACTATCCGTAACGCGCCCGGATGAAGCACCGCTCTGTGGCCTGCTTGCAGAGGGGGCAAGCGGAACAACGCGTGGCCCATTCTTCGATACACGTGGTGCAGAAGCGATGATGGCAGCTGGCGACCTGGCAGCGATGTCTGGCTGCTTGTGAGAGTGAAACCAATGGTAAACTTGGAAATGGTTTCAGGGAAAATCTACAGGCAACCCCAAACCTAACAGTTTTTCTCAATTTTTCAGCGAAGTATCCTATAACTTCATCCCATTTTTTATAGGCGAGGGGGACTTCTTGACCCCTCAACTTGAAACTGCAACAAATTGCAGCGACATGCAGCGACAGTACAAAGAACGACGGGCAATTTTTACATGATTTTGCTGATCTCAAAATCTGAGTTTTTCTCGTGCGGCCCATTCTTCATCTTCAGATGTTAAAAAACCATGTGCTCCATCCGCCTCCGAGCAATCACTCAGTTTCAGGTCATCCTCGGTGAACGGGCCGAACAACGGGCCGGGGTTACATCGAAGATCCGACCCTGGCTGTGCCCGGCAGTTTCCTCTGGGTTCCCGGGACTTCCCGGCAGATCGGGCAAGAGATCCGAAGGCAAGGCGAAGCCGGCGAAGCGCAGTTTTCGGAGTGTGTCCTCCAGGTTTCAGCTGTGCTAGTATTACTATAGCCCAAGAAAATATATGGACACATATTGCTATTAAATAGTGATGGATTCATTGATATTCATTGATTATCATTGATTCATGTTCAATATTGTTCCACAATCCTTTGAATCATATGAATGTTCAATCCCTTTTTATCCTTTTTTGGGGATTACGGGATAACCCACTGGGCAACAAGGCCACCAGTAGTCTCACCCTGGTCCTGAATGATGCCATGGACGTGTCGTGGTTCTACCATCCGCAACAGTGGACAGATGATGACCTGAACGGAACCAAAAAAACCAGAGTTCCCCATGTTTTTTTTGATATGCCCAGCTGAGCATATCTATATAATTCCAAAATGACTACATGTAATTTACATGTAATGTAGATCATCGTAGATCTTCAAGCTGTTGCATCTTAATTCATCTTACCCGCTCCCTTCATCATTGCAAGTCTAGTGCTCTTTCATGTTCAGTACTGTTCTGTGACCGCATGATGTTCATGGGCGTGTCTCGGAAACAGCTGAGGAAGTGCAACAAGAGTGATGGGCGGTTTTAAAGGCCCGGACATTCATCTGGATCCTATGGAGAATTCATCACGCTGCCAGGTTCCAAGCGTTTCTGAAGGTAGGAAGTGCATTGATAAATTATATAAATTCATGGACCAAGTATTAGTCTTGGACATTTGATATATTTTGATATCTTCGTTACACTTGACCTTAGTGATTTCTATTGATTTCTCCTCACTTGCTGGATGGACCCCCAGTGTTGGAGATGACCGGTGTATCTCCGTCTCCGCTCACCGGTGGGACATCGACCGCTTTTCTGCTGAGCGGATGTGGGTTACAGCTGGTCATCCACCTGCAATCGGCGAGATGAAGGGTGGCCAAGCGATGCTAACCACCTAAGAAATGTATCAAAATCCCATGGGGGATTTACAGGTGCCCGGTGCCATGTATGAATTCTATATACCCGGCCTGGTAAACATACAAAAAGCTATTGAACATGGCCATTGAAATAGTGAGTTTTCCCATGAAAAATGGTGATTTTCCATAGATAAGTTAGTTTCCCAGAGGGTGTATATATATATATATATATATCTTGTTGAAACCGTTGAAACCGACATGTTTCTTCGTCAAAACCCTGGTACCCGGATGGTACCCATCCAATAGATGGCTTATGGGTGTTTATTCCCCAAGTCATATGGTAATTTCGGTAACAAACGACCCATCCCCACATAGGCTTGTCTGAAAAAAAAGGTATCTCGGCATCCCGTTCGTTAATCCACTGCACCTAATCATCATAGCCATCCCACAGCGCCAGCATTCCTGAAATATTCCCATCATATCTTTGGTTGGTAAATATGCCGAAAACATCTAGCGAAAAATACCCAATTTGACAAATGTCAAATCAGTAAAATCACCTAATCATATTCGAATTATATCACAATGATATTCCCATTAATTATACAGTATGACCTTAAAATGGTTGGATTATCCCGAGATGTCACCCTTTGAAGCCTCAATGTTTGACATTTGTCTCATTTCAGCCAATGGTTTGTTATGTTCTTGCTGGACCTCCATAAAACCCCATGTTGATAATATTGATAAATGATGACAAATGACAACAAGCTGTTTCTCGGTTTCTCGGTCCTTGGGCCGCCTGTAGTTGGTCAAATCTCAGTTTGGTTCGCTGAAACCGTTGGCATCACAGGTCACAACTGCCTCCTGGGAGCGCGCCGTCTGAACAGCTCGGCGCTCGCGCACCAAGCGGACCAAGGTTTTGAAATGTTCCTGGCGCAAGTGGAAGATCCATTGCTGTTTGGATGTTCACCTGGAAAAGCCGTACAATGGGATATATCATGGGAAAATCATGGGATAGAAATGATTAATATATATATATAAATATATACAGTATATATATAAATATATACAGTATATATATATATATATGTGTGTGTCACTCATATGACTATAAATGTGACAAAAGATATGATATGATTCTGTATGATTCTGTAAAACGATTGCGTGTGTATCGCACAGAAGATAGCCATAATTTTTGGCTGTTTCAGGAAAAAAACAGAAGATTGAAACCAGGGAATTTTGGGGACGTCAACCATCAGGCGAACTCGTGATGAAGTCTGAAGAGCAATGGAATGGTTTAAGGCGACTGAGTCTTTACACCCAAACAAAAACAGGTTGTTCCTGCTTGGTGGCTCATCCCACGGCTCGTAAGTGGGTTAGTTCACCCCAGTTATAAATGGGATTTTTGTAGGGTTAATCCCCTGAAATCACTGGGGTTATAACCCACTTTAACTCGCCGTAGTGTACATGATCATCTCATATAAATCTCATTGTCGTAGTGATCATCGCATGTGTGCAAGTCGGTCAAGTTACGTGGGTTAACTAACCGGGTGCCATTGTCATCCATCGGGCCATGGGAATCCTATCAAAGAATGGGTGTGAAATGAAGTACAAATGAAAGTCCCCCGAAAAAATCCTTGAATGATGAGGTTCTTCAAAGTCCCCATATATCTAATATCTATATATTATCTATGTATATCTATATATATTCATATATGTTAATCTCATTATTTCTCTCTGAAATCCCCCATGAAAATCCCCAAAAGAAATCCTGAAAGATTCCCATCCCCAGTCCCAAACCCTCCTTGTTGCCGAAGATGTCCTCCTGTGATCTCATGGGATGGCAAAAATCATCCAATTTTTCAATATTTTTCACATGGTCCATACCATAGCTACTGTGGATGGTTAAGCGAAATCCTGCACCACCTGGGATGGCTGGAACCCTAGAAATAATGGGATAAATAATGGGATAAACCATCAGAATCTATCAACTGGTGCAGGATTTCGCAACCATACCATAGCTATGTGACTTATTGTGACTTTCGGATGCTGTAGCTGATCCTGCAGCAATCCGCGCGTCCGTTGCCAGCAGTACAGAAGGGATCTATATATTTACTTCCAGCCAACCAGCCGTTGTTCCACATATTGCTGCTCTTGAAATAGCTTTCACCTAGTAGTGGAGTCTATGGACAGTCTATCATAGACATGGACATACCTTCCGAAATACGAAACCCCAACATCCCATCCATCCCATCCATCCCATCCGTAGCATATCTATCCCTTTTTCGCTTTGGTCATTGGAGGCCCATGTCCCATCTTCAAACCAACCAACCTTCCGACATTCCGGGCCTTTGGAGGTCCACGTCTCTCTTTGCCTTGTCGGAGGACATTCTCCTGAAGCAACCGGTCGACTTCAATTTGTGAGGGAACTTGTTGCTTGTAAATGTTGATATATCATGGGGACAGAGCAGGATATATATAACTTCAACAATCGGAGATGTTGGGGTATTTTGGGGCTTTGGGTATCCAAGAATTCGGTATATCCAAAAATTGCATTTGGCTAAAAGGGAACTGGGAGTCCGTGGACTCCGTGGACGGCAAAGCCGAAGCTCAGGTCCGTTCACCCCGAGAGAGCAGGGTGGAGCGGAGAGACGTGATGCGACGTGGACGCCATTCAATGACCTGGCCCTAGGAGGATCAAAGAAATAGATGGCAGATGATGGCAGATCCAAGTTTGAGATGTTTATCTACATTCAACGAATTCCTTCCACCTGATACATATATATATATATATTATGTTTAAATCATTTCCGCGCCCTCTGTTGATTTGAGCACGGAAACTCTATCCACACGCATGAAAGAATCTGGAAAATCTGTCATGGACATCCAATGGTATCCAAAGAACTAGCTGGACTTCTTGGAACATCTAAACTCACTGAACATGGGAACCTAATTTCAGACACAGAACCAGTGTCGAACCAGCCATTTCTCGATCAATAAAAATGATTAAATCCAAAGTCACTAAATTTCCCAAACCAAAAACAATCATGTTCATCTTGTGGGGTTTATATACTGGATTCTTGTTTTGTGATAGATCTCAGAAACCTCCAAAATAATAAGATTCTTAAAGTGGTCCGGAAAAGTTCTCATTTACAGATTGAAACATGTTATAAGCGATCAAAGTGATCGAACAGAAAGCCAAGGTTGAGCCAGATTTTTGGTTAGTTACCCTCTGGTTATTTAAGGTAGGTAGCTATGGACAGTGGCCCATTTGTAGATGATTTATCTAATGAGAATGGTGAAATTCCATAGCAAACTGTTAGCACCAGAGGATATACCATTGATATCCACCACTTTAGATGGTTAAATCACCATTAACATCCATTTATATATATGATCTGGTTGGTGGTTTTAACCATCTTGAAAAATATGAGTTTGTCAATGGGAAGGACTATCCCATATATATGGAACATAAACAATGTTCCAAACCACCAACCAGCCATCATTAACATCCATGTGTAGATGATTTTCCATGAGCCAACCATTTAAAAACACCATTAACAACCATTAATGTATATAATGTATGATTTACCATTTGATCATTTCTGAATGGATCCATTTTTTTAGATGGTTAAATCACCCAGTAACCAACCATTAACCAACCAGAGAACCCCCATGGATCCATGGATCGATCCAGGCTGCGCTCCTCGCGTTTTTTCCACAGCAGCTCCCGTTCGTTGGGTCCCACCGGGACGGGTTCCGGCATGGCGCAGCCAGAGACCTGCCACATGGCCATGTGGGGAGGTATGGTACCCTAAAATCGCTAGGAAATGGATGTTCATCCCAGCAAAAACTGGTCAATTTGCTAGGTTTTGACCCACACCTATATAGGATAGAGGTACTGACTCTAGAAGCCGCTAGAAGCCCTTGGTGAGATATATATATATATATGCTATTGCCCTGGTTCTTGATAGCAAATATCAAAGAGCCGTTTCAGAGCTTGAAAGCCCCCAGTTCATGCCCAGACATAACTATTTTGACTCACCATCTCAATGGAACATTGCATCTCAACCAACTGAAACTGAAACAGCATCCCCTGGGCCAAGCACTTGGGCGCAATCCGGTATACATTGGACACTATGATATATATATATATATGTATGTATGTATGCATGCAGGTAGGTAGGTAGGTAGGTATGTAAGTATGTAGGTATGTAGGTATGATTAAAGAGAAGAAAATGTAGGTATGTAGGTATGTAGGTATGTAGGTATGAAAAAAGAGAAGAAATGTAGGTATGTAGGTATGTAGGCATGTAGGCATGTAGGTATGTAGGTATGTAGGTATGTAGGTATGTAGGTATGTAGGTATGTAGGTATGTGTGTGTGTATAGGTATGTGTGTGTGTGCATATATGTGTGCATCTGTGCATCTGTGCATCTGTGCATGTGTGCATGTGTGCATCTGTGCATCTGTGCATGTGTGCATGTGTGCATGTGTGCATGTGTGCATGTGTGCATGTGTGCATGTATGCATGTATGCATGTATGCATGTATGCATGTATGCATGTATGCATGTATGCATGTATGTTTGTGTACACATCATTCATCATACATATTTACTGACTTTTGTATGTATATCATCTACTGTATACTATACATATACATATAATTAATGTAAGTATGTATGTATGCATGCATGCATGCATGTATGTATATATATATGTATCATATCTAGGCACTATATACGTACAAGTACAGTATCCATGATTTTTGAACTTCTTCACCCCATCATGTATCTACAACCGTGTTTGTTTCACTTTCACCTTGGAGATGCGGATGCCCTTGCCGTTCATGGTGTATCTCCTGCGTTGGGGGGAGCCTTTTTTTTAATGAAATTGTCAATGGTCAGGATACCCTCTGGTAAACTACCATAACTATGGAAAATCACCATTTTTAATGGGTAAATCCACTATAAATCACCATTTTCAATAGCTATGTTAGTCATTACCAGAGGGTATCCAATGCTAAGAATTTTCCGAATTTTCGGGGGATTCAAGACTTTCATTCATAATAAGCTACGGCTATCACAGGGTGCATGGCCGGCTGTCGTGGTGCATGGCCGGCTGTCGTGGTGACAGTCACCGGCATGGCGAAAAATCAAGTAAGCCGATGAGTTGGGATCTCCATGCTACGAAAAATCATATGGAAGACTATGGAAGTACCATCTGGTTATGACTCACAGTTCGCTATGGAAAGATCCACCCATTTTTAAGTTCGGTAAACCATCTATTTCGATTAGGGCCATCTATACCATGGCTATGTTAGTCATAACTAGAGGGTAATATGAAAATAGTCAATTGATGCAACTATTTATGAATCAACCACTGATCCATGAAACTATACTTGAATCTAAGTAATACTATATTGCCGTGAACCTATGAAATTCACTCTTGCATTGCTAAGTGGTCATGAGTCTAAAATTGACTTAAACATATGTACATATACATCATACATCTATAACGAGCCATTTAAACCCAAGTGAACATGTGCCACAGATGGGCTGTTTCCTCCTATATCAACCATGATGGTGAGGTCACGTCACGTGGCCACATGTCTCGTTCGTATTGGTTTTCCGGTGGCCCTGAGGAAACCAAGAAATCTGAGTCTCACTGAGAAAAATGTATGCAACAAATGCCCGTCCAGGATCCGTGTCCAGATATTTTTGTGGCCAAGTACCATCTGGTTATTTAAGATAGCCATGGAAAATCCATTAAAAATAGAGGTTTATAGCTGGGAAAATCATCTATTTCTATGGGCCATGGCTTCCATGGCTATGTTAGTCATAACCAGAGGGTAGTGCCCGCAAAGTTTCGCAAATTTCATGTAGCTATGCTTTGGAGGCAGGACGCAGGAAAGCTCAACAAATTGCTCCTCAATTGGGCTACTCATCAAGTATAACCTCTGACAATCTAGCATGGCAGGGAAAATGCCAGGGTTGTAGGTATGTTCTCCTCAACACTTATTCTAATGATTTTTAAACTTGAAAAAAAAAACAAAAAAAAGGAAAACACATGGAAAATCAAAAAGCAAAACTTCAAAACTGAAAAAAAACCGGACGCAAAATAAATGGGGGAAAAAAGGAACGTCAAAAAGGAAAAAAAATGGAAAAATGGACTTGTCCATTTGCATTTTTTTTGCATATATTTTGCTTTTTCGATTTGTCTTTTTGGGCTTTTGTTTTGCATTTCTTTTGTTTTTTTCCAGGCAAAAAGCAAAATAAATGCAAAATAAAGGCTAAAAAAACAAATCGAGAAAGCAAAATAAATGCAAAAAAAATGCAAATGGACTAGTCCATTTTTCTCCACTTGTTTTTTTCCCTTTTTGACTTTCCTTTTTTTTCTCCCTTTTTTCCGCTTTTATTTTGTTTTTGTGTTTTTTGGATTTTGCTGATTTTCTTTTTGTTTGTTCCATTTTTTGCATTTGTATCGTTTTTTTCAAGTTGTTGATTCTTAGAATAAGCTATGGTCTGGTGAACAGAAGGTTGTATATAGATGATTTACCTTTAAAGAAATTGGTGGTTTTCCACCTGTGTTAGATTTCATGACTTCAAATCACCAACACGCTCAGTGCCGGTAATCTCCCTGTTCATTGGGTGCAGTTAACCCTTGCTGTACTAACCATCATGGTGACTGCCAGTGACGTCGGTATAATCTATATACATAATATATATATATACATGACAGCATGTAAATATATATATATATATATCAACCTAACAAGTCCCTGATAAATCTGATATAATCTGATAATATCCCAAGCAAAAGAACAACAACATTTATCCCAATGTGATGTTCAAATCCAATCAGGTTTTCCATTAATGATGGTCGTTCCCTGATAAAATCCCAATATTATTCCCTAAAAATAATGAGCTGAACATGGAATTAGCTTCCAATGTGTTTTACCATTTGAATATAATTTTTATCTCCCTGATCTGCCACAATCCACCATTCTTCATGGTTAAGTCACGTTAGGTTCCAACTTGCCGTGCTTAAAGTTCAAGCCAGATTAATTTCGGTTCAATCATGTTCAATCCATGTTGGCCGTAGAACTCCCCCCATTTTTCCCCCATTTTCCATCATTTTCCATCGTTCGTTGTAACCGTGGGAACTAGCAATTGATCCCCTCCGACAACGAATTTCTTACTGGTGCGTTTTACGCAGGGAATTTTCGGGAATGATCCATTTCATCACTAGTAAATCTAGTAATAATATGTAATAATCATCCCAGCAACCCCCAGCAACCCATCCAGCCACCCTGCGTGCGGCAGTAAGATTTTGATCGGCCCCTCCTCTTGACCCTCGTGGGCTGCTTGGTCACCGGATCGATCAGCGCCACATTGGTGATGTGGATGGGACATCTCAGATGCCAAGGGGCCCTGCCCTCGTCAATAGAACAACTAACATAGGGAGTTGTCTAAAGAAAATTACTTTACTTCGTGTGATCCCCACCATGACATTTATACATTTTCTTACTGGCAAATCTTCTGGCATTCTATCTGACATATCTTCTGACATTCTATTTGACATTCTATCTGGCATATCTTCTGGCATATGATCTGGCATATCTTCTGGCATATCTTCTGGCATTCTATCTGGCATATCTTCTGGCATTCTATCTGGCAAATCTTCTGGCATTCTATCTGGCATATCTTTTGGCACTCTATCTGACATATCTTCTGGCATTCTATCTGGCATATCTTCTGGCATATATTCTGACATATCTTCTGGCATTCTATCTGACATATCTTCTGGCATATATTCTGACATATCTTCTGGCATTCTATCTGGCATTCTATCTGGCATTCTATCTGGCATATCTTCTGGAATATCTTCTGGCATATCTATCTGGCATATCTTCTGGCATATTTTCTGGCATTCTATCTGGCAAATCTTCTGGCATTCTATCTGGCATATCTTCTGGCACTCTATCTGACATTTTATCTGGCATTCAATCTGGCATTCTATCTGGCATATCTTCTGGCATATCTTCTGACATTCTTTCTGACATTCTTTCTAACTTTCTTCTGCACATTCTTTGTCCCATATCTTCCTACATGAGGTCCGGCAGGGAACACTTGGAGTGGATACTCGCGGTTGAGGTCCGGCAGGGAACACTGGGCGTGGATGGTCGTGGTTGAGGTCCGGCAGGGAACACTGGGCGTGGATGGTCGTGGTTGAGGTCCGGCAGGGAACATTGGGCGTGGATGGTCGTGGTTGAGGTCCGGCAGGGAACACTGGGCGTGGATGGTCGTGGTTGAGGTCCGGCAGCGAACACTGTGGATCGCGAGTCGCAGTTGAGCAAGGACGACGAGGACGACGAGGACGACGAGGAGGACGAGGAGGAGGAGGAGAGGAGGACGAGGCAGGAGGAGGCGGAGGAGGAGGAGGAGAAGGAGGAGGAGGCAACTGACATAAAATCTAACAACCCTCACCTGGCAGGTGGGGAAATAGCATCTAACTAGAGCCAGAATGACCGGAAACCTCAGTGTTAGATATATATGGTGAACCACGGATTGTCAGTCTAAAGATGGAATGACCATAAGCCTTAATTAATACTTGACTTTACCTGATCAAATCAAGATGGGGCCAACATGGGGCACCACCTCATAGCAGGAATATGCCAAGCGCTTGGATACAGAACATGTCCCAATTCCGAGATCGTCCAATCAACATGGATAGGATGGCAAAATCATTGCTGGTTGGTGGTTTCAACCCCTCTGAAAAACATGAGTCAGTTGGGATTATGACATTCCCAATATATGGAAAGTCATAATCTAGCCATGTTCCAAACCACCAACCAGATATATTGTTATTCCAATTATTAACCATTATTAACCATTATTAACAATAGATTAACCAGGAAAATTCATGTTCCAAACCACCAACCAGATATAGTGTTATTCCAATTATTAACCATTATTAACCATTATTAACCATAGATTAACCATGGATTCACCAGGAAAATTATATGGTTCCAGTCACCACCAACCAGCATTGTTATGGCATCCATTGGGACATGTTTCTTCGATGAATTTGTACGGGATCCCAGGAGAGCAACGTTTTTTCTGGGACTTTCACCCAGGGATGTGTCCCACAGTCTTCGCAGAAAGGGATCAACAACAAGCGCATCCAAGTTGGTGCCACATGGGTATGGATCAATACCTATTAATACCATTTTTAGGGGGATGAACATCCATTTACCAGCTATTTTGATGTTCACCAGGGGTACAAGGTTTTGACACACTGCCACATAGCTAAGTTTGGTTCATAAGTAAAAGAACTGTTCCTTCTATGGTAATGGTTTTCTCAGCTAGTAGTTGTGCTTCGATGGGCTTTAAACAACCGAAACAACTGGTTCAAGTATAAATCAAATAGAGGTTTCCTGAAATGGAGGTACCCCCAGTTCTCATCCATTTTATATTTGGATTTTCCATTGTAAACCATCCATTTTGAAGTACCCCCACTAATGGAAACCTCCATTAATCGTGTTCTTGTTGCTGGGATAGTGATGGTATATAATTAATCAAATGTTAGTGGGATATGAATGGTTTTATGGTGATTAACATTAAATGTCAATGTGTATAATCATTACATCAATATTTATTAATAATGATATTTGGATTATACACATCGAATCCCATCAAACCATGATATTTAATAAATGTTCACTATCATTTAACCTATTAATATTAACATTTAACATTGACATATTAGGTATAATATCATGAATCATAAACATATTTAACATTATTAATTATCATTAACATCATTAATTATCAATTAGTTATCATGTTATTTTGGGTTATGTTTAACTGGTTGGTGGTTTCAACCCCTCTGACAATATGAGTTCGTCAGTTGGGATGATGACATTCCCAACTGAATGGAAAGTCATGAAAGCCAGCCAGGTTCCAGTCACCACCAACCAGACATCATTCACATCATATTCCCATTCTTGTTGGTTTATAGCTTATTAACCACTATTAACCATAGATTAACCATAGATTAACCATAGATTAACCATAGATTAACCATGATTCCATAGATTAACCATAGATTAACCATGATTCCATAGGTTAACCATAGATTAACCATAGATTAACCACTATTAACCATCACTATTGACCACCAACCAGCCGTTTGCCAAGGGGCTCCACCGTCACCAGGGAGGGTTTTCCGGGGCCAGGCTCGGGGTGCCAGAAACCTCATGAGGTGAGTCGTTGGCCAACAGAAAGACGCTTTGGCTCGTATCAAACAACCCACCAATGTTACATATGTATTAAAAAAAATATTATTCAATATAATATATATATATATATATATATGTAGTTATAATAATTATATATATATATATTATGTGTGTGATATATAAATAGACATAGATTGACCAATCATGGTCAATCATGGTGAATCGATCTTAAGCATGACCTTCGCCACAGCTCGAGACCTTCGCCCTGAGCTTTGGCACTTCTTTTGAGGCTCACTCCGTTGACGATGACCTGTGGATGGGAACCCATCCAGATTTCCCAGGGCGATTCACGTCGTTTTCCAGGGGTAGTTTGATAACTATAAAGAAATATGGGAAATATGGGAAGCATGACCCATTAATATGGGATATATGTTTATATATATATGTATATATATATGTATATATATATATATGTATATATATATGTATATATTATATATATATATATATTATGGTCAATATATATATATATTATCAATATCATACTACCCACCATAAGTAAATTAATCATTAATATTGACCCCAAAAAAACACAATATCAAACTACCCATTCACGCTTTACAAGTCAAATCACTGAAATGCCTAGCTGACATTAGCTAACTAGCTATTTGTGTGGGTTTGGATTACGACACCAAGATACATCAAGTACATAAGTACGTAAGTATAGTAATGTATAGTAATTTATAGCAATGTATAGTAATGTATAGTATGTAAAGAATGTATAGTAATGTATAGTAATGTAAAGTAATGTATAGTAATGTACAGTAATGTATAGTATAGTCTAGTCTACTATAGTATAGTATATATAGAGCATTATATAGCAAAGTAATATACATATAGTATTAATACCCCAATTTCAACCTCATCCAATCACGCTCCACGCCTGATTCTTGTCATGCAGGATGCGACTGATCACCTAAAAAGGGGCTGGTTTTATATGGAGATATCGTGGGGATGTCATGGAACATTCATGGAATATAAAATGGGATGTAAAATGGGATGTACCATTTGGGTAAAATGATGTAAAATAGGGAGTTTCCAGTTTCCAGCATGTAAAAGATTGCCGGAGGGATCCTATTTTTTCCCGTCATGCGGTGAGGTATCACTTCTCCAAAGCCAACAAGTGATCTTCTGCAGCAGAGTCACACCATACTTCCTTGGTGCCGGGTCGATGCTTTGTGAAACGTACGTGATATACGTGCCCCTTGGCATGGATGACCAGCAACGAGTTGTTGGATCACGATGACCAGCGGCCTGCCACTTGTTGCCATATGTTGAAAAAAAACATAGTCAGTCCTCGGCAATCTGTTTCTGTTGCCAATGTTTGTCAATCGAACTTTCAAACTGATTAATAAAATATACAGATCATACGAGCAATAGCTCTGGATACCTCTGGTTTGTGATATCGTATCCCAATTGGCTCCCAAAAAAAATGCCAAGCTGAACTCGTGCACGCTTGGTGACCCACTCCCCACACGTTGCAGAACAATGCTGTTGGGATGAGCAACTCCGATTCTCGATGCCAAATGTGGGCCCCCCAGTGATGTGAACGCTGGTTTATAATCCCCAGGAACTATAGTTATAAGTACCATAAACCATAGTTATTGGAGTTATTAACCAACTTAGCTATCTAGGGGGCACCACATTGCAGGCCCTATATATCTTAGATCATTTTCAGGGTTTTCCTCTTGATTCTCGATTCAATTGAGCCACCTACTGATCTCAATGGCAAGTTCGCAGAATTCCTCCATGTTTTCATCGAAAATTAGTACAAACAATTTCAGTATATTCCAATAGAATGTGACAGGACACCATTTGGCCATCTTGAAATCACTTTACTACAAGAACATGCCCTGATGAATATGTCGAACTAATAGTTGAACTGTCTGACTAGGAATTATGTGTATTATACATATATATATATGTATTCTTACTCTCCAATAATCAACTCCAATAACCAAACATGGCAGTTGGAACTCCCCGCACTAAATTAATGATTTTCCAAGCAATGCTTGATTACGAGAGTCTATTCACCAATATATATTTCACTCATATTCATACTCCATTATATTCCATTAAATTCCATTATATTTCATTATATTTCATTATATTTCATTATATGATTATATATGGTTACATATGTTTCTATATGATTCGATATGATTCTATATGATTCTACATGATTATATATGATTATATGTTACTCTAAATCATTATATATATATCATTATATATGATTATATATGATTATATTTGATTAATGTTGTATACCGATTAGTCTCCTGGGACTCTTTTGTGAGACAATTTTCATAAATAATTGAGTATCTTGTGAATGGGGGGGTGAGCCTCTATTGTGAGAAGTTTTTTCTCAGATCCATTTTTTTGAGGAGGAGCTTTATCCCCCTTTATACACCTTTCTTTGGGTAAAGCTGGTCCATTTACTTTAGAAAGCCATATCCATGTTAAAGCCTTGAAAATGCAAGGTTTCCCAAATAATTAGATGCCTTATTAAACCCTTATTTAAAAAATAGCACCCGAGCAATTTTTCAATGGGGTACCCCATGGCCCACGAGTGACCCAGATCCTCAATAATGTAATTGGTTTGATGGTACCCTATTGTGCACAAAAACTTTTGGAGCATTGTTTTTGGGATTTAAAAGGACATCAATTGAAAGTAGATTGATGTCAATTGAAATCCTTACTTAAGTTGACTATCCTAAAACATGTTGAGGGGGGGGGGCCAGAAAATGCCGATTTATTGAGTAGCCTAAAATTGTTGAAGGGGGGCCTACACTAATCAGTATCCAACATTAAATATGATTCTATATGATTATACATGATTTTAAATGATTTTATATGATTTGACATGATTATAAATGTTTATATATGATTATTATATATATGATTATAAATGATTATGTATGATTACATATATATATGATTATATATATGATTATATATATGATTATACATCATTATATATCATTATATATCATTATATATCATTATATATCACTATATATCATTATAGATTAGTGGATTATACCCATTTATGGCTTTTTAAACCAGGGGGCCCTTCCACCCGGACTGCCCAGCTTCCCCTTCTCGCTGCCGTAGAGCACCCGCACGCGGTCTCCAACTCGGACCCCCATCTCCTGGTTTTCAGAGCAAATTAGCTGTTAAAACATACGCTATTAATCTGGTTGGTGGTTTCAACCCCTCTGAAACATACGAAAGTCAGTTGGGATCATTATTTCCAATATATGGAAAAATAAAAAATGTTCCAAACCACCAACCAGTAATGATATACCCTCTGGTTATTTAACGTAGCTATAGCATACATGGCCCATTTATATGATAAACATGATGATTTACCTCTTGAAAATGGTGATTTCCCACAGCTACGTTAAATATCCAGAGGCATTCCATCCAAAAAAAATGTGCGCTGAAAACTATAGCAGGGGCTTCCTACTGCAGTAAACAATGGTAAACATACCATCCATAGCATATACTGTAGGTCTATTTTTTTCGTACATGTTCATCCCTACAAATCCGACAGGTTTTCTACGAGACAATCATGGAAAAACCCTCTGCCGGTTTCGATGTGACCAGTTTTTTAATGTTTCTTAATGTTTTATGATGTGTATTATACCCTCTGGTTATGACTAACATAGCCATGGTTAGCCATGGCCCTAATCGAAATAGATGGTTTACCGAACTTAATACTTGGTGGCTCATCCCACTTAGTAAATGGGTTGTAACCCCAATTACAAGTGGAATAACCCTACTTATCCCATTTATAACTGGGGTTATAACCCACTTACTAAGTGGGATGAGCCACCAAGTAGCATGGTGGATCTTTCCATGGCGAACTGTGAGTCATAACCAGATGGTAATATGTGTTGGATCCCTCAGGTTTTCCAGCAACAGTTCGGAGTTGAACAGACATAAAGGGCCTACGGATCTCTGATAGGATACCATGTTCAAGAGGTAAATCATCATTTTTATCATATAAATGGGCCATCTATAGTTCATGATGATTAGAAAGGGCATTACAACTCAATTGATTAAGCACAGTCCAATACCATGTTACGTTCATGTCATCCCCATGTCAATGCTGGGTCATGAGGATGTACAATTGGTATGTCAGTATGTCAGTTTGGCAGAAATTGGCCTAGCACAACAGGCCGCACTCGTCCAACCTGGCCTTTCCCCAGGGAAAATGTGGTGCGAATCTTTGGAAGGAGATATCAGAAGTGCCACTGTTCCAGACCCTGCATAGCTACAGATTCACGCGCTGTCCATTTCCTCATATATAACACATGTTCACCCTTGAGATTGATATGCAATCATTGATGTACAGACCATGACCCCCGGCTCTAGGTCACATCCTTCTACCAACAGTGACACCAAACAGAATGCCAGTAAAAAAATGGCGGACATTGGATTTTCCATGTTTTTGTTTCTCTATTCGTTCTGTTGACTTTCCATGATTTTCCATACTTGAAAAGGGCGCTTCCAAAGGATAGGTGTACTGAGTGCGCTATCACAAAGGACAGGTTTGACTAAAGGCTACCATTTACCCATGTTGCAGGAAAATATGGAAAACATTGAGAAACATGTCTGGTTGGTGGTTAAAAAACAATCTTGAAAAATGATGGAGTTCGTCAATGGGTTTCGGATGACATCCCATAAATGAAATGGACAATAACATTCATGTTTGAAACCACCAACCAGATTTAGATGTTCCATGAACAACTAACAACCATTAACCAACCAGAGGCTAACCCCCATTGAGAACCATGTATACCATGTATTCACGGGTTTTTCACTCACTTTTCACCGCCTCTTCTACGAATTTCTACCAGTTTTCGACCGTTCTTCGATCCATTCACCGGCCAGTTTTTTCGACTCCAAAAGTCTCGCCTTCGCCAGATCAATTCTCACCAATTTGCGGTCCACATCCTGCAGGAACTAAAAAAAATGCATTTTTGATGGGGAAAACCACGAAAACATCATGATGAAGCATCAAATTCGTGGGGTAGCGTAGTTTTGACAATGCCGCTGTGTCTGAAGTGTCTTCGGTGAAATTTGAAAACAAAAATACGAAAGGTCAGGGTCTTTCTTGGCCCCCTTGTGATTACTCCCTTCCCGGCTCCCGTGGATCGGGAGGAGAGGGCCACATGGACATCTCTTTGCTAATGCGCAGGAAAGGCAACCTGGGTGTCACTCCTAGAGACAACGGAAAAGCACCAGCCGGACCCTGTGATTTTGTATTTTTTTGTTTTTTTCTGGATGAAACATGATGAAACAATGGTGAAAAGGTGAAAAACAGAAGATCCATCTCTATGGATGTGACAACTTAAATGTTTTAGGCTTAGGCTATTTCTGAGAGCCTGTTTGGAACCGAACTGTATTATCAAGTTTTCCCTGCTTGCGAGTACATTCACAAAACAGATAGCGCAATCGAAAGTGAAAGTGCAGCCAAAGCTTGGAACCTGACTGAGGAATATTGTAAAACAATGAATGAGGCCATCTTGTGGATTGACCTCTAAATTCGAAGCCAGTTGGAATCAGTGAGTCATTGCCCTATCAACGTGAAACCCAAGATGCACTGATTGGCAGATGCCCGTCTAACTTTGGGGCAGAGCCCTCACAAACATCGATCAACATTGGCAGCAGCATGCTTCCAGGTGGCTGTCTATAGCGCTTTTCATTTTCTTCCTGCAGAGAATGGCTGGCTTTCTGTGGAACCAGCTGCAACAACATGGTGCAAAAAACATGCAGAAACTCCATGTAGTAGCAGAATCTGGTGGATCCAGAAGTTTCCAACATGCGGTTCGCAAAATGATGTCTTCAATATGTTAATATACTATGACATATAATATATATATATATTATACACATGACATAAAAGTACATAAACAAGAACATGACCAACACATGATCATGGATGGCTTCGCCCGGCTCCGTGTGAAGCCATCCTGGGGATCGAGAAGCACTGTAACATGTTACAACCCCCATAAGTTGCATTACAACACCTGTAACATCCTGTAATTATCCTGTAACTATGGTGAATTCATGTGAATTCCAATTATAACTGGAACAGCACTTCAATATCTTCAATATACCATTTGGTTATTTGACATAGCCATGGCAAATCACCATTTTTAATAGGTACACCCAGGTAAACCATCTATTTCTATGGGCCATCTATACCATGGCTATGTTAAATAGCCAGAGGGTAATGATCATGACCACGATGGCTGGCACTGGGCCAGTCCTTTCGGATCCGTTGGTGGAAAGGTATGACGCCCCCCTTCACTCGGGGCTTCAAATGTGGTGCCCATCTCACCAACGACCGCAACATGGCGCTGGTCAGAAATGAGGATCTGTGGATGAGCAGTGAGCTATTCAAAAAGGTTGTGGATTGGGGTTACTGAAGGCATGGCAGCGATTGACAAGAATCTATAGGAATCTCCCGTTGGATTTTCAAGAATGATCTTCCCTACAGCCACCATGAAACAAATTCATCGTACGCTCCAAGCACTCACCATGATGAGTGCAGCGTGTATCAAGATATGTTTGAAGGTAAATTAGAGAGAGAGAGAGAGGACAGTGATTCCGCAATGGTGTATGAATAAAATCAAATCACACAATCTGCGTTTCTACCTGAAACAGTTGCCACACTTTGAATCCGTGGCGTGGGTATGAAGCCAATTTTGGAAGCTCTTTCACGACTAATGGTTTCAGGCTAACACCCAACTTTGTGGGAGAACAAAGCATCCGTAAGAGCCACAGGGTCAACACGGTCACTAACTCCTCCCGGAAACTGTTAAAACCTGCATACCATTGGTTGGGGAAGTCGTGTCCAAGGATGACAATTGCTGAGCCAACAGAATATGGCATACACTCTCACTATACACAGTATAAAGACCGATATAGAAATCAAATGAAATCGATGTAGCTATATAGATCTATCCATCTGAATCTATCTATATCTACCTAATTATATACCCTCTGGTAATGACTAACATAGCTATTGAAAATGGCCATTTATAATGAGTCTTCCCATTAAAAATGGTGATGTTCCATAGCTACGTTAAATTACCAGAGGGTAATGACGCCACTGGTGCCATTAAGATCAAGAACTCCTTTTTGTACCCTCATGGATTGTCATCTTGGCCCGCTTCGCAGGCGGCGTTGTCGGCGGCTCACTACTTGCACTGGGCCACCCTTGCAGCGCGGCTTGAGCAGTTTGTGAAGAAAGAGTTATATACTGGTTGATGGTTTTCACCTGTGCCAAGAATTGTCAAAAATGGATGGAACACGCAATTTACGATGTTTGATTTTGTTTCAAAATATGGAACTGTCACTTCACTACAGCAATGCAATGCACTCCAACATGTTGGGAAAAATGGCTGCATCCCCAATATGCACCATGGACCAGGGTCCACACGGTCCGACAAGAGCAACGCACTGGAACGACCGTTGATTTTGAGGGTCGGTCTTGTGCTGTACCGGGACCGGCCCTTGAAATCCCCACAAAGTGAACGGACAGCAATCTATTCTGTTGACAGTAAGTTTAAAGATGTTTCACTGTCACAAAACCATAAGATTGTTCTTAAGTCATGAAGGATGACAGGATGATAACTGATGATAACTCGGATACCCCTATGATCCCCTAATTATGTTGGGAAACATCCATAAAACTAACGATTTGTTTCCAGCAGTATCTTCCCAGACACCTGACCCCTTGCAGTGCCTAGGAAAATTCCATGCATGCGACCGAAGAGATCTGGCTCTGCCTCCTGACAGGTTGTCATGAGTCGCTGGGGCTCAGGCACCAAGAACTACTGTGGTTACCCCCTTTTCCACCACAAGAATTAAACTTACACCATTGCTGCCCATTGATAAACGCTACTTCATACTGTTCGAGTTTTGCAAATGGATGGCTGGTCTGCTGGTCTCAAAAACTGCGGTTACTGATCAAAGATTGGATGATTAATATCCGGGGATCCAACTCATATCAACTCATCACCATGTGGCCAACAACATCTAACTACATCCAATTACCAGAGTAACCTGAATGTTAAAAAAAATCCGTTACACATCTGGATGGATTTGAAGTTCAGAATGCATGTTTGAGGATATTTAAGGATGGTTTTCAACCAACTGTTTTTTTTTCCCAAACAATGCTATCCTGTTGGCGTTCCCTGGGATGGTCCAGCAAGCATCTGTACCATTATGTTCAGTGGCAGCAAAGTGCCCGGACCCTCTTGACAAAGGCTATCACAAAACATGTTGCTAATGTGTTCGGCAATTCGGTTGTTTTTGCTTCATGCACCCTGAAGACGTTTCAAGACCACCTATGTCCAATTCCTAAGTCATGAGGGTACCCCTAGTCATCATCCATTTTATGTTAGGATTTTCCATTATTTTCACCATCCAGCGATAAAGGGGTACCCACATTAACGGCAGAAGGGGCCTCCAGCTCGTGCCACTTGCGCAGGTCACTCATGTCCTTTCGACAAACGGCGGCTTGAAATTGCTCTCGTGACCTTTCGCGACTGTCAACATCGATTCTTAGTTTGTTGACGGCTTGCATATTATGTAGATATACTGTATATATCCGTATTTGAAGTTGTACGTTCTTGCTATATCATAACAATAATAACAATAATCATGATCATAATACATTATTGCTGATTACTAGTGCTTTTTCGCGGACATGTGCACAACATCATGCATCTCAAAGACATGTGGGTAGTTGTGGGTAGATGATCAAACTTTACCATCTGAAGTGGCTTCACGGTCATCGGGAATCCCAAAACGGGAACCAAATCTCGGCCCCAACTGAAATTGGGAACACAACTGCCCATCAGTTCTTCCAGTTCGCATCACTTCTGTATTTTGATACTTGTTCCAGGTGCATCCAAATAGTTAAAAAAAATGGAAGATCCTAAAGTACTAGAATCCTCGACTTTCAGCTGCTTTTGTCCCCAACACTCGGAAATATCCTCACTGATCTTCACTGATTGCTGAAAATACCTCTATATATATATTAAGCTAGCTGTATCCCGAGTCCTAAACTCATCAAAAGTGTCTTGTTCAAGACGTCAGAATGCCCCAAAATTGGATGGCTAGATGTGCATTGGACTTTCCATAATGGATTGACATGATCCCCCCAAAAAAAATGTACAGTAAAACCTCACGATTATCCCTTTCAATCATCAATCAACAGGGCTTTTGAACACAAATATTCATAAATCATTTTCTATACCCTCTGGTAGTTTAAACATATAGCTATTGAACATGGCCCATTTATAGTGGATTTGCCCATTGAAAATGGTGATTTTCCATAGTTATGTTAGTTTGCCAAAGGGTAAATCATGTTCCCTACCTTCGTTGCTCCGAACTTCCACACAACACCTTAGGCCGGCTAGGCGTTTTTCGGTGCCACAGCTCCTCCCCACCGAAGGTGCTGCGAAAGCGGCGCCGCGCCGCAAGGTCGGCGTTCACCTGGACTGCAAGGGCTTATGGTTTACCCTCTGGTAAACTAAAATAACTATGGAAAATCATTATTTTTTAATGGATAAATCAACTATAAATGGCCATTTTCAATAGCTATGTTAGATTACCAAAGGGTATTCATGTTTATTCCACCCTAGAATAAACACATGTGGTAGGAAAGGGCTTTTATGATGGTTCAAGGGCGAAAATGGTTCATAATCACCTTCCTATAATAGATGGTTCTGTTGTATGAGCATCATGAAAACATATGAAAACCATCTATTGTGAAGGTATGTGAAGGTTATCACATGTTATCTTATTGATCCTTTAAAATTTATTGATGAAAGTTGGTGGTTGTTATGCGGTTTACTTGTTGCAGTGGCTGTATGTTTGTTGGTTATTGATGGTTTTGCAGGATGATCGTATTCTGTTTGAGGGTAAAAGTTATGGATTATGGGTGTTACCAGATGTTACGACTATCCAAAGACACGAATACTACAACATGCTCAATGAATTGAACATCTTTGGGATGGTCAACTTTGGATGTTGAGACTCCTACCGACACAGTATCATGGCTATACAGCTGAAGGATTCAATGTATAAGGATAGCGTTCCCATTTGACCATCCCGACCATACAAGAGTTCCCATGGACGGCATTGATAAGCAAAAACGGTTGTTTTTTTAACTTCCGGGAGGAACAGAATCAGCTGGAATCATGGTCCAAACTAAAATACTTGGTGGCGAATTACCCACTTAGTATGTGGGCTATAACCCCAGTTATAAATATGGGATAAGTAGGGTTTATCCTCTATAGTTGGGGTTATAACCCACTTACTAAGTGGGTAGTTCGCCACCAAGTAAAGCAACATATCTTTGACATCAGCAATCAGTTTCTCGGAAATCTCAAAGATCCTCAAGTCTCTCAATTCTCGATCTTGTCATGATACATTCTACAAAACATCCGCATGTTTCAGAAGTGTAACTCAGGGTTTCTGGCTTGCAGGACAAATCTCAGTCAGGGGCGTCCAAGAAGAATACACCCAAGGGTGTCAACCTGGCAGGTGAAACCTTGGATACTCATGGCTACTCCAGATTTACCAAAAAAAAAGTAGAAAACCGGAACATGTTGATGCCTGACCACAAAAAAATCATGGTTCAGTGGCAAACAATTCCTGACCATTCGAAGTTGCAAGGGTAGCTCAAGGTCTTCTATATCTATCTGTGTCCATATACATGTACTGTTATAGTATACACAAAATGTGGTGTGCTCAAACCATTTTGCTTAGTTTAAAATGTCAGAAACCAACAGAAACATGTTTCATCTCTTTGGCAAAGCGAGTCAAAAGCTGCAGTCCCAACATGTTCCATGCTTCAGATTCTACAACTTCGTGCTGTCCAAAGCCAGCATCTTACCCCACCGGAGTTTCCCTATAAAAGGCATGGTCATCCATGTAAACTATGATCAGGGGGAAGGTCGCGAGACCTTGAAGATGGAATGACATCTTCCAACAACTCTATCAAGGTGAATGTCCTAGCGTTGGCAATTTTGGGCTCACTGCTTTGTGGAAATGGAGCTCGAAATGGATACAAAATCAGAACCAAATACTGCAGACATCAAACCTCGAGCAAATTCGCAATCACAAATACGGAGATTCTTGCGGAATTCCATGATTGATGTTTAGCTGCAAAGGTCAGTATGGATAGATAATCCATCACCCTTACCGAAGGATCATGATACAGCAATTAATCATCCGTAGCGCAAGGGTCAAAGGAACATGCAAGGGTTCGAGTGCTATGTAGCAATCTGAGAATGCTTTTCAAAAAGGATATGGATTGTTTTAGAATATTGTTTGTTTACATAGCTGAAACCGGCTGCAACAACCATTGGAACACATTTAGTTCTATTCATGTCATAGTACTTCACGTTATATTCATTTCCTAAATATATATATATATGGGTTTGTCTGAAAATAGTGTACCCCTACACCCAATGGTTAATGATCATTATCCCTACTAAATGGCTATAATTGGGGGTATACCCCATTTTCAGACATACCCATATAAATAAATACAGTGATAACAAACGCGAAGATCCCTTCAATGGAGAAGCTCTATGTTCGTTCCAGGTCCTTTCAAGTGGGTGGAAAATGAGGTCCAAAAGGCCCGCAAAGGTGTAGAATTCCTGGTTGGACAATGGCGGATTTGCATTTTTTTAGTGAAGTGTTTCAGCAATGAAACACGGAAATGGGAAATCCTTTATAAATGAAGGTGTTGATGGGAATTGAATGTACCCTCTGGTTATTTAACATAGCCATGGGAAATGGCCCATAGAAATAAAGATGGTTTACCGAACTTAAAAATTGTAATTTTCCATGGCTATGTTGAATAACCAGATGGTATAAATAACGGATTTTCCATGGCTATGATTGATTCTAGGAAGGTACTTTGAATTCACCCATATTGTTTTGCCTGAAAATGGTATATATAAGTATATCATTTTGAATCAATTTTTGGGGTACCCAATTTTCAGACAAACTGATGCCAGTTGTGGGGTATGATCATTTTGGGTATGTGATATGTTGATGGTGTTGCTAGTTCCTATGCCGTCCAATAATTTTAAAAAATGTTTACTCTACATGACTGCCTGATTCTTGGGAGGAAACACCGGTTGGTATATGTCCTCATTCTTCACGTGAAGTGAACCAAATCCCCAGAAAATATTTAAAAATTGCGGCCCTTTTGTTTGACAAGGGATGTTGCTTAAATGTGTTTCTGAAACATATCAAAACATGATATTGAAATCTGAGAACGACAGGCACACTCATCACCGCAAAATGTATTGTTTTTTTCTGCCTGCCACAAAACTATCAACATTTTGTTATCAAACGACAAATTGTTGTTGGCAACCCTTTTCCGGACATGTTTGGTGTTGAGTGGGACCACCACCCCAATCATGTTGTTTGCGACTACAAAAAACAATAATTATAAACAGTATTAATTAAACAGTTACACGATTACATGTATGAAACACGAAAAAAACAGGTGTTTTTGCATCAGCCGCATGGAAACACTGCACATGAAAATTTCACATGAAAACTGTTGCCATAAAAAACAAACCCAGGCGCAGGGAAATGGAGCAAGGTCGATGCGGCGTCAGGCCGTTCCTTGTGATTTTGGCACGGTCACTGGGTTCCAAGAGCCAAAAACAAGTCACAAAGAATCAAAACACGGAACACACTGGGAAACCAAGCGAAAATGTATTGACTTTTTGCTACAACAAGAGATCACACATCAACTGCCAACGCCAAACATAGTTTTGTTTTAACGAATTATATTTTTGTCATGCTGAGGTGCCAATCCATGGTTGGTTGAATAATTAATCAATTTCAATCTCCCTTGTGAAGATCATCAAGAAACAATGGGCCAGAAAGGGAACAAGGGCCCCCTCTTTGTCAAATTTGACAACCTCGTCGGCAAAAACCAACAGTTTATAATATTTTATAATGTAAAACCGTCGTTCTTGGTTCGGACGCCGGGGTACGACCTATGCCAAACACAAGGTCATTTCCGATTGCAAATTACAAGTCTTTTTGCTTCCGAATTTGAGCAAGTGCTGGTGCCAAAAAATTGTTTAAAAATCCAAATTCGCACATGTTTGAATAATGATGTTTCAGAAAAAATAAAACTCGGTGGGGGGAAGGGTTCGGGGAGGTTGGGGGGGTTTTGGGGGGTGGCACAAACGTGTGTGTTTCTGTTTTTTGATGTTACGCTCTTCAAACTTCATGTAACTTACAAGACGCTCTTGATGCTACAATCTGGAAATTCAAGTAACTTACAAGACGCCCTTGATGCTATGTTCTTCAAACTTTATGTAACTTACCAGATGCTCTTGATGCTACTCTCTTCAATCTTCATGTAACTTACAAGGCGCTCGTGATACTACGCTGTTGGGCCTCAAGAAACTTACTAAACGTTTTTGACGCTACGCTTTTCAAAATTCATGTAACTTACAAGACGCCCTTGATGCTATGTTCTTCAAACTTTATGTAACTTACCAGATGCTCTTGATGCTACTCTCTTCAATCTTCATGTAACTTACAAGGCGCTCGTGATACTACGCTGCCGGGACTCAAGTAACTTACTAGACGTTTTTGACGCTACGCTTTTCAAAATTCATATAACTTACAAGACGCTCTTGATACTACGCTGCTGAAACTCAAGTAACTTACTAGACGTTTTTGACGCTATGCTTTTCAAAATTCATGTGACTTACAAGACGCTCTTGGTACTATGCTGTTGAAACTCAAGTAACTTACTGGACGAATTTGACGCTACGCTTTTCAAAATTCATGTAACTTACAAGACGCTCTTGATGATGATGATGATGATGATGATGATGATGATGATGCTGATCTCGGATGGCGTCGTACCCCGACATCCGAGCGTTGTTCTTTGATTGGTTGCCAACTTGACTCACGCAGCTCTGATCATGCATGCCGTGATCAGGAATGCGCACTGTGCCTCGCCAGGTCTCAGCACTTCGAAACGGAGGCGGCGCACCTGCAAAGCCAAGGGCTCTGTACATAATGCCATGACACAACTAGTCTCCAACAACTTGGAGGTGCTTTAAAGAACCACGTCCATCTAAAAGTATCTGGCCTGGTGGCCCGGGCGATTTTTCTGTGAGGCCCAGAATGCTGCAAAAGAAAGGTCATGTTTGGAGAGTGGCCCAAGCCAGCCAAAGGCGGCAGAACCTGGCTTTCCGGGCTTTCCCATTTGACAAGCACAAAGCCAAGACCTAAAAGTTAGAGGCTCTCCAGTTGCGTCGTTCTCAGTGTCCCTCAAAGGCTGTGGCACTTGGCACTGGCACAAGCCGTGTGAGAGCTTTCGACTGATCCTCTGTCTTCATTCGCAGACACATGACACAACTGAAACATTCCTCTGATCACACCCTACATCAATGCACCCAACCCTGCTGGATAATGCGCTTTGGTCATGCCAATAAGAATCAACAGGATCCAACAGGATCCAATAATAGGATATAATAGGTGTATCAGGTATTGCCCTTTAGCACAACAGGAGCTGCACCTTAGGCCTCAAGAGCTAGACAGTGATGAAGTTGCACGCCTTTGAATATCCACGAGCAACAAATAGTGCCTGAATTGAGATCTTTTACAAGAAACATCAAGAAACTACAGCAAGAAACTATACGGGTTTTGTAGACTGATGGTGTTGAAATTGCTGGTGCAAACATCTTCAACCAAGCAGTCAGGTCCAGTGGGTCTGAAAGGGATCGTTTTTCCGTTCTCAGGTCCACTTCGACACGAGATATAGGCGGCCAATGGCGGCCATAATTTCTGGGCACCTACTTGGATCAATCATTGGACTTGAATAGCTGGATGGTTTATAATGGAAAACGATGGTTTGTAATTGGTTTGTTCTAGGGATCATGGGAGATATATTGGAGGTATAACATGATACACTGTAGTCTGGTTGGTGGTTGAGCTCTCCCCTCTGAAAAATGATGGAGTGAAAGTCAGTTGGGATGGATGGAAATTCCCATATGGAAGGTCATAAAATTCCATGGTTCCAAACCACCAACCAGATGTGAATGTGATAAACCTATGGAATCCTATGATGAGTCATGAGATGACATGCCTTGCTAAGGTCCAAGGTTGGCACAGGAAAGACCTTGGGCATCCTTGGGCAACAAATCCAGGTGTGCATTGATACATTTCCCTTTGGGCGATCTCGTGGTGCATGTACATGTATGTACCATACTTGGATTGTTGGGGCATTCTTACAAACCCGGCCTCCGAAAACTCTGGTCTTTTATTTGAGAAGTGACTTATGTTCACCATTGGTTGTGAAAGTAAAGATATTTGAAACAGCCCAGGCTTTGAGTTTTCGCACACCTCGTGCCTTGAATGGTTTTGTGGTGAGACCTCAGGTTTCAATCTGCTTCGTGTCGAAAACCTTCATTTCGAAGTTTGAATGTCGCAGGTAAGCATTCTAAAGTTTTTTCGTGTACCTCACTTTGCACGTTTTGAAATAAAAACATAATTTTCAGGTTGCATTGACCTGGACATGATATCGTGGATCTTTCGGACATCGGCACCCCTGCGATCATCGAAGGTGTTCCGTTTCAAAGATCGATTAAAACCCTTACCCTCTGCAAAAAATAACAAAGATGATGAAATGATGAAATCTATTGGAATTTAATTTCTTTCCCAAATTTAAAGGAAAAGTATCCAACAATTTGGTGTTTTTTCCATATTTTTCCATCCAATGAGCACCTCCGAAGCTGTAGGTTGTCTACCTGTAGCATGCAGGGCAGCACAGGCAGGCAGTTCGCAGTTCAACTGGCGTTTTGAAATGCAACTGGGGTAACATGGGTTGTAGCGAAGTATTAGGTTTAGTTTTGCAGGTTTAGTTTTGCAAGTTTAGTCAATTAAAGCTCACAATAATAAAATAATGTCACCCCAAATCTTATGGTCAATCATCATGTCCCCCAATCTGCAGTAATAGGCAGCCAGTTTGGGTAATCATCCTCCTGTCCAGATCATCCAAATCAGGAATGAAGTTGTCTACGTATCTGTGAGCAAACACATTTTTTCGGTGAGCTTACCGAAAAGTGCCTTTCACCCAATATTCACAAATAGCATCTAGTAAACTAACATAGCAATGGAACATCACATTTTTTTTAATAGGTAAATATCAACTAGACATGGGCCATTTTCAAGTTCGCGAAGTGTTGGTTTACTGGAGGGTAACCCATCAGCAAGTTGACGGCCGCCATCTTTCGGACAGGTCTCACCTGGCAAAAGATGGAGCAGTTCTCGGAGCCAATCCTCACGATTGATGCAATGGATCACTGCGGCTACCCATGGCCGATATCTAATCTACCACAGTGACTTCCTTAGCGGACACTGAATTATCATGATGATATGATATGATATGATAATATGATACCACCCCTTTTTTTCTTGGTTTTTTTTTGCATGGTTGTTGGTTGAATGACCCTTCAATCCCCAAGAAATCCAATGAAATCATGAGGTTTGATGGTTAAATCCCTATGAAATCCCCATGAAATCCCGTTGTTTCCCGGATTTTTCACGGTTGGATCCCTGATTGTTCCCAATGCCTCACCTTGGAACTTTGCCAAGTGCGATGGCTTAAGGTGGAGTAGGTCGCCAACTGCAAAACCTAAGGGACTGATGTAGCAACTGTCTGGTAATCTAAGGTTCAACATGCTGTTTATATGAACATTATAGTTTTATATGAACAAAAAACTGTTTACCAGTCAAAGAGGTATGGTAACCAGAGATAAGCCATGGCTAAACATTGTAAATTGACTGGTATTCACGATTGCATGATTACCAAAACCGTTTAGAGACTAGTCATGTCTGATAGTTTAATATGAACAACAGTTAGTTTCCCAGTCGAAGCAATTGTCTTTGTTTAACTCATCTCATAAACTGTCAATGCGGAAATCCGTGGTTCAACATGATTTCATCCCCGAACCCACAAACATATAGATTTATATGATTCAACAACCATGATGAGTGATGGATTGGTTTATGGAACAAAGAATGCAGGAAACCCTGTTGACCAGACAAATCCTGGAATGCACCAGTTTCCCTACTCCGATGTGCTTCCCAGTGATAAAGTTTGAACCACCAAAGTGGGATGCATCCCCCAGTACTTGGTTCGGATCAATCCCACTGTAACTGGTGAATTTCACCATATTTACCCTCTGGTAAACTGCCACATAACGAACTGGAAAGATCCACCTTTTTCAATGGGGATTCATCCACCATTTCGACTGGGCCATGGCTTCAAGTTCGTGAACTGTTAGTCATTACCAGAGGGTATAAGCCAGTTATATATGGGATAACCCATGATGACCCCACGACGGGAATGGCTCTGGCGATCTTGGTGAATGGACATGAGCGACCGGAACAATGACGTTCAAAAACCATGGGATTCTACGAAAAAAAACCGCACAAGTTTCAGGTGAACCCACAGTACAATATGATTAATAATTGTCCTATCATGATCATTTCCATTCATTTCCCGTTATGTTTGGTGATATTTATCATGATTTATCCGTTATACCCTCTGGTAAACTAACGTAGCTATTGAAAATTGTCATTCATAGTGAGTTTTCCCATTAAAAATGGTGATCTTCCATAGTTATGTTAGTTTACCAGAGGGTACTCCTCAGGTTAAAATCTCGAGGTGCCCAGCGCCAACTTTGGGCTTCAGCACCGAAGCCAGGCGTTGCAAGCCCACCACGGGATCTGGAAGGTGATGCCTTGGCGCCCGGGCGCCCGGAAGGATCGGCCAACATTTCAATCCCACAAAAAAAACTACATTCAATGGGAATTCCAGGATACTAGATCAATGGGAATATGGGATTATATATGGATTATATATGGATTAACTATATGGTTTATGGATTAACTATGGTTATAATGTAATTAATATACTATCAATGGGAATTTCAGGATCCTAAAATGGAGGTACTGTACCATATTTTTGGCCATATTTTGTGGGGGATATTCCCATTGATACATGTTCACTCATGTTCATTACTCAAATGCCTCGAACCTTCAGCTTTTTTTTGGGGGTTGACAAGTTGAAGGTACCCAAGATTGACCCATGTGGCAATCTTGGTATGAGTGAAGATTTGTATCTCATGATCCACTTGTGGAAGATCCAAACAGATCCTGGTTGGTCAACTGATGATTTGTGGACACCATTGGACCATGATCCCAGCAAGTGGTTGATAACGTCATCATTAACCACATTTTATATATGGTACATGTATATATATATAATATGTGTATATATATATATATTATGTACACAATATGTTGGGGGTCATGAATTTCTTAATCACTTATGTATATAACGAGGATCCAAGTAAAATTTCCGTCCACCACGGCTGCTATCAGGGCACAGAACCCCACAGCAGACCACAAGGTCGAAACCATTTTTAAAGGCAGCATGACCTGGAGTCACAGAGGCATCGTTTGGCCAACGAAGACTTACAGGCAGCCAAGATTAGCGGGAATCTTAGATAAATTCAAAGTGAAATCAAGATCTTTGGGACTTTGATGAAACGTGCTGCCATTTCATGGTTTTCTGCCCTCATGACCATAGTTCATGTATGATCGGAGATAGAACTAGCGACCCCATCGAGTTGCAAAATGAAACAGACCATGTCACGACGTCATGATTTCTTGTCCCAACGGGTAAGTAACTCCCTTATCTCTTTGAGACTTTGACTGCTAGGCACAGAATCCAGTTGGTTGGTGCCCAAAACCACCTGGTACAGTCATCTGGCCAAATCACCAACCTTTTTTATCAGTTGAGGATGATTACCCTCTGGTAATGTGTTTCATAACTACTGAAAATGGCCAACTGCTAGCGAATAATGACTTCCCTCCTTGGACTTTTTCAACATGGAGATGTTCAACAGCCAACTGTTTGTCATTGAGGATCATCTACCCCTGATAATTACCCGTGAAAACACCGTCACAACGCTGAAAAGCCCCTCTCGCACCTGGTGAAAGTTCCTGGATGTCGCCCACCATGAAGCTCACCCGCGCCTAGACGTAAACTCTGACGAGAAGGGATGCTATATACAGCGACAACGACAAAATTTGGGACACATATAAATAGTACCATTAGACATCATTGGTATATTTAGTACATAGTAACATATATATATATATATACATACACATACACATACACATACACATACACATACACATACACATACACATACACATACATACCATATACATATACATATACATATACATATACATATACATATACATATACATATACATATACATATACATATACATATACATATACATTGAGCATTCCCATATACATATACATATACATTCCCATATACATATACATAATTACATATACATATACATATGATTATACAAATGTATATATATATATATGCAGCATATATTCTACTGCCGGTGTGGCTGATCACAGAAAGCATCTCCAATGTATCTTCAGATTCATTATTTGTTATTTGTATATTTGTTGTTTAGTATCACTTGAAGTAGCGCAAAGCACAATCCAGGCCTCTCATCCTTCATCATGGCAGAAGTCTGGAGTAGAGTAGTATATTATAATCAAAGCATCACACCTGGAATCACAACGGCAATGCACCATAAAAATCCAAATACAAGAGGACATAAACCGTATCAATCATATATTAGTTTATATTAATTTATCACATTAAATGAGCATTTTTAGGGACACTGTTGCTTATTCTCCACAAGATTTCGAAGTGAAACTGGCCAGGCATCCCGACAAACTCCTCGGGCGACAGAGTCTCTTTGAGTTTCCGGTACGCCACGGCCACAGTCTGGATGTCAAAAATTGGTGCTGTGGTGCCAGCAATTTATGTGAAGTCGAGCATAGGTAGAGACAAAAAAAATAGTCATAGCATGTAATGATATGTAATGATATGTAATGATATGTAATGATATGTAATGATATGTAATGATATGTAATGATATGTAATGATATGTAATGATATGTAATGATATGTAATGATATGTAATGATATGTAATGGATGTATTGATATAGAGATCGATTCGACCGTTAAAACCAACATGAAGACGAACATCCGACAAATCTAGAGTTCATATCATCGAGGACATCATCTTCCAAAGCCAATCTGCTTGGAGGTTTCAACCCCTCTGAAAAATATGACATCGTCAGTTTGGATGATGAAATTCCCAACTGAATGGAAAATCAAATTCATGCTCCAAACCACCAACCAGATATATTGTTATTCCAATTATTAACCATTATTAACCATAGATTAACCATTATTAACCATTATTAACCATAGATTAACCATAGATTAACCAGGAAAATTCCATGGTTCCAGTCACCACCAATGATAGGCCCATCGTTAAACTGAAAACGACCACGATCTGACGAGGGAAGCCGTTGCATCACTAGTGCCATCCGGCTACCCATCTGGTGGTGCCAACCCCATCCGAAACAAAAATCAAATCTCCGTGTAGCTGGACGTATGGCCAATAAACTACCCTCTGGTTATGTCAAAATAGCTATTGAAAATGGCCATCAATAGTGGATTTTCCCATTAATTCCATGGTGATTTTCCATAGCTATGTTACCAGAGGGTACATTAATCTACTTACTGGTGCGTTTTACGTAGGGAATGGATGGGTTGCTGGGGGTTGCTGGGATGATTATTCATAGTTATTGTGGATCATTCCAGAAAATTCCCTACTAAGCACCAGTAAGTCTATATATATGTATATACATATACAAACTTGGGAATATGATACTAAATGAAAATATCATAAATATAATAAATCGGAACATCAAGCTGAATAGCCACTAACTTGCGAATTTCTTGGGAATTAGGAATGGACTTGTTTTATATATGTATTGATATGCTAATATTCATTACCAACTTGGGAATACATGATAACTATAACTGGTCTGTTTTAAGGATCCCATAGAGATTTCAAAAGGTCCAACCCCTGTTTGATTGCATATACCGAACAAGATTGAATAAATAAAACTTTATAACTGTAGCAACTACCAAAAAAATAGAGAAGTATATACCCTCTGGTAAACGTTTACATAGCTATTGAAGATGGCCCAGTCGAAATAGTGAGTTTTCCCATTGATAGCATGGTGATTTTCCTTCGTTTTTTGTATGTTTACCAGAGGGTGAATTCCTGTCCTATCGTCTCAAAGGATTGGATACAACCAGGCTGCTCCTTCGTTCCAGACCAGACCGCATGAGAGAAATTGCCAAACAAAAAGTGCTTCGGAGTGCATTTGCAGTCAGAAGTGGATATATTACACTCACCATAGCGGAAATTATCAACGTAGATACAACCAAGAAAAACAATTATTATGACTACTTATGCTTATACCTATGGTGATATATCAATATAATATACTATTATGAACCATTTTCAACCATGACCATCTGGTAAACATACAAAAAACTATGGAAAATCATGGAAAATCACCATAACTATTTCTATAATTACTCTGGTAATTTAACAAAACTATAGAAAAAATGGCTAAATCCACTATTTTTAATGGGTAAATCCACTATTTCTATGGCCATCTATGGCTTTTTTTCTATGTTTACCAGGCCGGAAAAACCACCGTGTTGGCCTTGGCGGAGACATCCAAGGCCAACACTCTGGCGCCGTTGTAGCTGCGAAGTTCAACGGCCACCTGGTGACCTGCGGAGGTCGGCGAATGTGGCATGACTTGGACATGGTTGGAGCATTATATGTATATAATACATGGATCTGGGTAAATTGTAATATTTCACTAACCTGAAATAAGGCCATTTTGGGATGATTTCCCTTATTAACCATGATTTCGAGTGAGGTCGCAGTGAGGTCATTATAATTTACCCAGATGGATAACATATACATGTACCCTCCAGTAAATTAACATAGACCCTGGCAGTCATCGGGCTTGGAAGACTAGTTTCCACTAGAAATTGATTGTTTTCAGGGTCTATGCCAATTTACTGGACGGTGCATGTATGGAGAGAGAGATGTATATATATATATATATATAATATATACCTTCGGGGGGTTCTGGTGGGGTGTGTGACCATATATATATATATATATCATCAATCTAATTCACCACATAAAATCTATGGTTGGAATTGGAGCATCATCAATACCCACTGGTTATTCAAGGTAGCTATGGAAGAAAAATGTTGGTGTTTCATAGCTGCGTTAAATAACCAAAGAGTATATCAAATTGACATAGTGGTCATGTGATGGTTGATATGGTTGATATGGTCCGGTTGATATCATCTATCTCAGTCCAAGAGATCAGATCTATCTAAATAAATGAATAAATAAATGAATACATATATATATATTGATATGTATATTAATATGTAATGATGTGTATACACATCGGATGATGATTTTTGTTGTGGCAATGTATTATGATGTGCTGGTGTACCAAAATTGAAACGCCTGATCCACAGCCCGCCACCAAAATCTGCGGTGTCTGCAGGACCTGACAGCGGTGAAAAACCGTTGAAGGTGTCCATGGGAGATCTCCAATAGCTGGATGGTTTGTAATGGAAAACGGATGGTGTATAATGGTTTATTCTACAGTTAAGGCCCTTTACCAGTTATAAGTACTTATAACCCCATTTATAGAATGTATAATCCCATTTATAACCAGTTATAACTAATAAATGGCCATAACTGTAGGGATTATGGGAGATATCTTGGTATAACATGATACACTGTAGTCTGGTTGGTGGTTGAGCCCTACCCCTCTGAAACATGATGGAGTGAAAGTCAGTTGGGATGATGATGATTGCCAACTGAATGGAAAATCATAAAATTCCATGGTTCCAAACCACCAACCAGTGGATTAATGGAAAACGCCCGATTAAAGTGGATGGTTTAGGGGTCCCCCCATGATTTTGGAAACCCCCAAGTAGGACTGTCAATGGGTTACCATCACTCCCATTAAGATGGAAAAACAAGATATTTCAAAGCACCAAACCACCAACCAAGCAGAAGATTTCTTGAAATGAAGGACCCAAAATTATTCAAAATTAGTGTTCAGCTACTAGGGTAAACTATTGGTTTGGGCATGCCAATTTCAATCCGAATGGCCCACAATTTTGCACCCAGCGGACTGGATGGTTGAAAACTCACAGTGACCAAATGACTATAGTCACTAGACTTCAGAAGTGGCTATCTTGTCAAGTCAAACTTGGCCTGAACTGATTTTGCCTTCTGTCTTAACGCAGAAAACATGAGATTACCATCCCAAGGACCATCCCATAGGCCTTGTCGGTCCGGTGCAAATTCTTTAAAGCACTACAATCCAAGCAGATGATATCTGTGTCATGTGTCCCCACATCGCCATGCTTCAAACTTGTGAGCGAAATATTAGGAAATCCAGTGCGAAACAATTCCCAAAATTCTGGGTTGTGTGGCACCCAAAAATTTGAAGCGTGTTTCAGCGTTTCCGTTTTCCTATGTCCTGGAACCAACATACCAAAGCAAACAACAAAAACGTATGTTCTGTGCCTCTGGAGGATGCCAAGATGGACACAGATGTTGAAGATGTTCTTCCAATGGCATCTGAGTCAGCATCCGTTGCCATGGGTATTGCTCAGTTGACAATGGCACCCTGGTGGAATAAAAGAAAAAAACGCCAAATTTAATGATCATAGATGGGCGCCATTACCTAGATTGTGACACTTCTATTGCTTCCTGATCATAGAAGGGTTGCTTCTGAAATGGATGTTTTTTACAATTTAAGAATGAATTACATGTTCAATCATCCAAAACCAATGTTTTTTTGCAATACTAAAATGGTGAAAACCAGTTGAATGAAACTCCATGGATTTTGACCCATACCACAAGAAGGGACATCCAATGTCACAACAAGGGCAAGCGTTTGGACTTGGTGAGGAATGTTTTTTGTTGGATTTGGAAACAATCCGGCAAACAAACGGTAGGAGGTGTATATATATATATCCACTATTATGATTATCAAACATATACATCTCTATATATATATATATATTCTATGATTATCATGAAATGTGTGATCATATGATCAAAGTGTGAAAATATTGTTTTGGTCAACAGAGAAGTTTCAAATGATACACAGTGGGGCCCCTAGATAGCTAAGTTGGTTTATAACGCCAATACCTATGGTTTATGGTACTTATAACTATAGTTACTGGGGCTTATAAACCAACAAACATCACTGGGGAGCACCACATTGTACCTTAGATCTGCGTTTTCTGTCCCGTTTCCTCAGTCTCTGACAGGAAGGACGCCCAGACATTCAACACCTTTGTGCCAGGGCGGATACCTCTCATCCGCATTGCGCTGGTTGCAGCCAGGTGGAATATGTAATGAAAGAGTCCCTTATCAATTCTCAACAGGGCTCTACATATGCAAAATCATCCAACAAAAACATCTGCAAATTCAAAAAATGCACAGAAAAGGCAGTGACAAACATGTAATTAGAGGTAAAATAAAGTAAAGCAGCCAAGAGTGTAATAACTACATATAGAATCATGTTGATGGATTCTGAGTTCTTCCATCAGACCTCTCATTCAGTGCTACTCAATCTTCACCAACACCCGCCACAGCGTCAAAGACAACTTAACATATCTCTGTCAACAGTTTGACTCCACATATGGGGGTCAGTCAAAACCTTGTGCACCCTCTAGTTCTCGTCAACATAGCTGGTAAATGGAAATTCATCCCCACCCAAAAAAAAAATCAAAGGCTTTATGGCTTGAAGCCATCCCCATATCTGCTTCAGCCTGCTGTCATCCCGCTGCGCACGCGGTGGTATCCTTAGAGCAAGGACCAAGCTGGGAAGGAAATCACCGGGTTGCTCCCAACGGAGCAAACACAGGGGGGGAAAGTGGCTAAATGTAGAGGTAAAATGGCAAATAACGCTTCCGTTGTGGCATTTACCTACAATACTTTGGAGCACCCCTGAATCACAGCCATTTTGTTTGAATGACAAAAAACACAGCTAGAGGGTCTCATTCCTGCTTGAAGTTTGAACCTGACTTGTCGTTTCAGCCACTTGAGAAAAAACATCGAGCCCATACAAAACAGGCAACAAAAAGCACATACGTAGCAAAGCTGCTTTTGAAGCTAACACAACCAGGGCTCATGGTAGACTGGTAGATATAGCATGATATGTCTATATGGGTAAAGAAATTTGATGCAATTTGTCAACTAACAAACATATATTAACCCGGGGGGAATAACACCTTGCATCTGAGACTACCACCTTGCCATCACCTTGCCATCACCTTGCCATCACCTTGCCATCACCTTGCCATCACCTCCATCAACCACCGCAGCTGAGATTCCCAGCGTAGAAGTCTTCACAGGGCGTGAAGGATTTCTTCACATCCCCAAAGTGCTCCAAGGTCTGTGCATCGATTCGCCGGCGATGGAATTGATCATCTCAACTGCAACCCCCCCACCAAAAAGCTCGAAAAAATCATGTCCTGCTAAAAGAGTGGCATGGCATGTTAAATTTGTTCTATATCTTTGTGGGATATGGAGGCCACCCCAGAGATATTCAGTGTTTAGTAGACTGATCCAAGTGGTTTTGATCTGCGTTGGCAACCCCTAGATCCCTAAGTGGGAGTTGCACACACCACAAAGAAATCTGAAGCGAACTAGGTTCGCTAACCCTGGAGTTGCAAATTTCAATGTACTTTCCGGAACCGGTACCCGCCAAGCCCCATAATATCCCATAATTAATCAGCATTGTCCTTATCAAAAATGGCAGTTTTTTTGAAGGTAAATGACCCAGTGTTTTGGAGAAACCCATAACCCATCATATTGTTAGATTACATGTCTCAGATTATATCCCATCAGATTCCCGATTCTGGTGAATGTTTCGCCCATGTGTAATCCTTTCCACTTTCATTTCCCCTCGTTCTGATCTTTTCGCTTGGCTCTAAAATATTATGCATCATCATATACATATAGCATCATATGTGTAGATTATATACTGTATATATATATATATATATATACCTGAGAAGGGGGGGGACGAAAGCCAGCCCCCAAAGCAATGCTCATGGTTTTTTTTGTCTCTGCGCTGAAGTATCTCGAAGTAAAGGCGGTTGCTAGTTGTTAGCATTCCACGATACTTTCGTCCAGATCAGCTCCAGCTCGGCCGTTTTAGGCCAAATCCTGGCCAGGAGCCTTTTGGAGCCAGATCCAGAGCAGAAACCTGTTGGAAGCAATTTTCTGCCATTTGGCGGCCATTCGGCCGGCTATTGCATTTCGCTTTTGGGAAGAACGGGAAACGGCTACATATACAATTTTAGAATCACAGCAAGCAAACAGAAGCTATGACCCAGCATTGTGAAGCTAAAAACACATAGACCCTTTTACACACAGACCCTTGCAGACTACACACAAACGCTTTTACACACAGACACTTTTTTACTTCGACACACAGATGCTTTTACACACAGACCCCTTTACAATAGCTTTACACAGAAACACGTTGACACAGAGACGCTTTTACAGACAAACAGCTTCACACAGACACACAGACGCTTTCACACACAGACCCGTGTACGCAGGGACAGCTTTACACACAGACGCTTTTACACATAGACCCTTTGACACACAGACCCTTGCACACACAGACGCCGTGAGACATAGACGCTTTTTTCGCACAGACACTTTTTGACACATAAACATCTTGACACAGAAATGCTTTTACACAGAGACCTTTCTACACACAGACACTTTTACACAGAAACCTTTTTACACACCGACCCTTTTACGCATACACAAAATGTTGCACACAGACCCTTTTACACACAGGCGCTTTTACACACAAACACTATACGCTTTTACACACAAAGGCTTTTACATACAGACCTTTTTACACACAAACATCCTTACACCGAAAGGCTTTTACACAGAGTCGTAGTAGCACACAGACTGTTGGACACACAAACATCTTGACACAGAAATGCTTTTACACGCAGACCTTTTTACACACAGACACTTTTAAACACGAACCTTTTTACACACCGACCCTTTTACGCATACACAGAATGTTGCAAACAGACCCTTTTACACACAGACGCTTTTACACACAAACACTTTTACATACATACGCTTTGACACACAGAGGCTTTTACACACAGAAGCTTTTACACAGAGACCCTTTTACACACAGAAGCTTGTACACACAGACCCTTGTACACACAGATATATCTACAGAGAAACGCTTTTACACAGACACAGAGACGCTTTTACATAGAAACATCTTCACACAGAGACGTTGCGGCATGTTTTTTTTACCTTCATTTGTAAAGCCGAAAAATGGTCAAATAGTTGGTGTTTTCGTGTTTTTTGAACAGTCTCGGAGCAAAAAACTCCGAAAAAAAAAACCGTGTTTTCTGACGCCTCGCAAGCCCGGAGCCTTTTGGAGCCAGCTTGTGGGACTTTCGCGGCTTGCGGGCCGGCAACTAAAAGGGCCTTCTGGGATCAAGGGGAAACGGCCATTTTTAGCCAAATCCTGGCCGAAGCCTTTTGGAGCCAGCTTTTAAGACTTTCGCGGCTTGCGGGCCGGCAACGAAAAGTGCCTTCTGGGCTCAAGGGGAAACGGCCGTTTTAGGCCAAATCCTGGCCAGGAGCCTTTTGGAGCCAGATCCAGAGCAGAAACCTGTTGGAAGCAATTTTCTGCCATTTGGCGGCCATTCGGCCGGCTATTGCATTTCGCTTTTGGGAAGAACGGGAAACGGCTACATATACAATTTTAGAACGAACAGCAAGCAAACGGAAGCTATGACCCAGCATTGTGAAGCTAAAAACACATAGACCCTTTTACACACAGACCCTTGCAGACTACACACAAACGTTTTTACACACACAAACGCTTTTACACACAGACACTTTTTTACTTCGACACACAGATGCTTTTACACACAGACCCTTTTACAAGAGCTTTACACAGAAACACGTTGACACAGAGACGCTTTTACAGACAAACAGCTTCACACAGACACGCTTGTACACACAGACGCTTTTACACACAGACCCGTGTACGCAGGGACAGCTTTACACACAGACGCTTTTGACACACAAACATCTTGACACAGAAATGCTTTTACACAGAGACCTTTTTACACACAGACACGTTTAAACAGAAACCTTTCTACACACCGACCCTTTTACGCATACACAGAATGTTGCACACAGACCCTTTTACACACAGACGCTGTTACACACAAACACTTTTACACACATACGCTTTCACACACAGAGGCTTTTACATACAGACCTTTTTACACACAAACATCTTTACACAGAAAGGCTTTTACACAGAGTCGTAGTAGCACACAGACTGTTGGACACACAAACATCTTGACACAGAAATGCTTTTACACGCAGACCTTTTTACACACAGACACTTTTAAACACGAACCTTTTTACACACGGACCCTTTTACGCATACACAGAATGTTGCAAACAGACCCTTTTACACACAGACGCTTTTACACACAAACACTTTTACATACATACGCTTTGACACACAGAGGCTTTTACACACAGAAGCTTTTACACAGAGACCCTTTTACACACAGAAGCTTGTACACACAGACCCTTGTACACACAGATATATCTACAGAGAAACGCTTTTACACAGAGACGCTTTTACATAGAAACATCTTCACACAGAGACGTTGCGGCATGTTTTTTTTTAAACCTTCATTTGTAAAGCCGAAAAATGGTCAAATAGTTGGTGTTTTCGTGTTTTTTGAACAGTCTCGGAGCAAAAAACTCCGTTAAAAAAAAAAAAAAAACGTGTTTTTTGACGCCTCGCAAGCCCAAAACCACGGTAGTTGCGGTGTTTTTTTGCTCCTGGAACCAAAAACCACGGTGTTTACAGTGTTTTATGGCCAGCACCTAGCAAAAACAGTGGTATTTACGCAGTTTTCAGCATGTTGCAAGACGTACTTTTGCCAGGCCAAACGCGCAAAAACACCGTAAATTACAGTGTTTCGGCATTTGAAACCCGATGAAAACCGTCAAGAACCACCAACAAGGTAAAGCCGAAAAATTGTCAAATAGGTGGTGTTTTCGTGTTTTTTGAACATTCTCGGAGCAAAAAACTCCGTAAAAACCGTGTTTTTTTGACGCCTCGCAAGCCCAAAACCACGGTATTTGCGGTGTTTTTTGCTCCTGGAACCAAAAACCACGGTATTTACAGTGTTTTATGGCCAGAACCTAGCAAAAACAGTGGTATTTACGCAGTTTTCAGCATGTTGCAAGACGTACTTTTGCCAGGCCAAACGCACAAAAACACCGTAAATTACAGTGTTTTGGCGTTTGAAACCCGATGAAAACCGTCGAAAACCACCAACAAGTGTCCAAAATGGAGCATCTCGTTCGGGCCCAAAAAACCAGGCAAACGGCAGGTCGGTTTTTGAGCTCTCCCCCCCCCAGGCTCCGGCCTCACCTTTCAAAAACGGACCGATTTCGGGCCTCCCCCCCCCCCACACCCCCTAGATTAGCTTCGCTTCGCTTCGCTTATACCTATACTCAAGCCCAGGCCTTCGGCTGGCTTTCGTGATATATTATAATATATATATCCATATATTACATATTATATATACATACATTATATATAGCGTTATAATATCTCAAATGTAATATGAGGATAAGATGACATGATATAATACAATAAACAGTAAAAACTGATTTAGTACACTAGTAAGTATAATGTAATAGTTATGACCTGTAATATCAATGGGAATAAAATACTGTAATATCTCATTGTATTCATCCACTGTATTCCCATAATGAGTTGTAATATATTCTCACATATACAAGATACAATATACATGATCAATTGTGAAAATCCCATTAGATACATATCCGCATTCCATTCCCATTAGAATACATAGTTATGACCGAGATGATATACTGTCTGGTAAACTAGCATAGCTATGGCAAATCACAATGTTTACAGGATATAATAGGAAAGTCAACTCTACATGGGCAATGATCAATAGCTTTGTTAAATTAACAAAAACTACTTAGTTTCAATAGCTAGAACATATTATAGATTATAATAGTTATGATCATGATATCAGCAATCAATAAACACATATAATATCCCCTTCTGGTTGGTGGTCTGAGCCCCTCTGAAAAATATGAGTTCGTCAGTTGGGATGATGACATTCCCAATACATGGAAAGTCATAAAAACCATGTTCCAAACCACCAACCAGCCATTATAAGTATCATAAACCATAGTTATTGGAGTTATGTTCAACCAACTTAGCTATGTTGATATCTTTTTATATGGCATTCCCATAAAATTCCCTGGTGAACAGATCCATCCAATCCCATTTTAGTCCGCTCGCTGTATCTGTGGCTTGTCGAGGGCCTTCATGATTTCCAGCTCTTCCTTGGGCTCTTGCCAGATCCTGATCCAAAATTTGACCCCTTCGCTGGATTTGAGCGCAGCACAGATATTGGGTAAAACAAACATGAAGATCACTAATGTTAATACTTAAGACAATGTTGATTAATACTAAATTTAAACCAATGTTAAGCATCATCCCCAGATCGTCAATAGGAAATTTATGATAATCATAGGATATATCTTTGATAATCATAATAATGGATATATATTATATATACAATGAACATATAATGGATATCTGGTTGGTGGTGCAATAACCATCTTGAAAAATATGAGTTCGTCAATGGGAAGGATGACATCCCAGATATGAAATGGAAAATAAACAATGTTCCAAACCACCAACCAGAAAATAAACGGGAATTCAAGAAATGCCAATACAATGTCACAATAATGACAACTCATATAATAAAACAATTAAAACATGAACACTAATATAATACATGTTGCTAGTAAAAAAAATATATATAAACAATGTCAGAAACATATCTTCTTTATATTTATATATATATACTAATCCAATGCTACATCAAGCATCGTGACCCGTTGAGCTGCTTTCCCACAACGAGACCGTTGACCTGCGAATCAAGGTGGCCAGGGGCTCATTGCTGCTGGCAGCCTGGCCGGTACTGGGTTACTGGGATCGAATGGGGTCAATGTTCAGACACTTCAAGGGGGTCAGGAAATACAGTACCCCCTGGTAAACATACAAAAAACTATGGAATTATCCACCATTTTTAATAGGTAAATCAACTATCAATGGGCCATTTCCAATAGCTATGTTTGTTTACCAGAGGGTACCAAATGGCAATTGAACAGCTTTAAGAGTTTACACAGTTCAACTGTTAAGAACTTCGGTGCTTCCAGAATAGGAAATAGAATGGTTACAAGAATGGTGCAGCAAATGTAAAAGAAAATTGTCATACAAGCCCTGTAGCTGCAATATTCTCATACAGTTACATGTTAATACAAAGTTTATACAGTTTGTTGTGGAAAATCACTACAGGATTAATAGGTAAATAAATGTAAATGAATCTATATCTATTCATGGGCCATTTCCCATAGCAAAGTGTCAGTTAACTGGAAGCTAGATGGGTAGATGATTTGTGACACCCCGGATGGAAAGTAATAGCCTTGCCCACTATGCTTCCAAGTTTGCAAATAAATCATGGAATCATAGTGCATTCACCATCATCCAAACATCTCACTGTTCTTCTTGCTCCCAAACTGAAAATTGGATTGTTTTGCAACATCAAGTACATCATCAATTCCCAGCTTTCTACGCTCACTTTCCCACCATCTTCCCGCGGTAACTTCACCCATTTTCCGCTTTTCGCACCTGAAACAACTGCTCCGGTGGCTCCTCCACGGGCGCCTGCCACCGACCATTTCCATGGCAGGGACATCCCCACACTGTTTTCTGGACTTTCCAGCCGCCATGATTACAAGAGGATCATCATCCCCAGATCGTTAATAGGAAATTTATGATTATCATAGGATATATCTTTGATCATCAAAATAATGGATATATATATAATGGACATATAATGGATATCTGGTTGGTGGTTTTAACCATCTTGAAAACTATGAGTTCGTCAATGGGAAGGATTATCCCAGATATTATGGAAAATAACAATGTTTGAAACCACCAACCAGATCATCATCATCCCAAGATCGTATTTTTTTGATCAAATGGGAGCTCAAAAATCAGAGATCCACTATGACTCACTATGATCCAATACATTTCATCATCCCTAGTGGAGAATTCTATAGTGGAAAGCACTTATTTCGAGATAATAGTTCCAACATGTGTCAAAACTCCGTCAAAGTTAGGCCCATCTTGGGATGAAAGTCTCACAACCCCCTCCCCCCCCCAAAAAAAATGAGATCAATTTTGGTGAAGCTTAGACAAACTTCTACCCTCTGGTAATTTAACAGTTCGCTATTGAAAATGGCCAGTTATAGTGGATTTTCCCATTAATAGCATGGTGATTTTCCATGGCTATGTTAAATAACCAGATGGTATCTTTTGTGGGGGGGTTGCATTTTTTCCTGACTTCCAAAGATGTTTCGAGGCGACCTTCCAGGTTTCGCCTGGTACATGGACGCCAGCAACCACTCCTTCCAGGCTCCTCCCTCAACGGGTGCCGCCTGTAGATCAGCTGGGGGCGTTCTTAAGTCATGGGGATCCCAAACTCACCAGGGGTTTTCAATACCAAAAAAAAATCTAACTTTGGATGATTTGGGGGTACCCTCATGACATAGGAAACTTCCAAATCATATCAAATTATGTGATTATTTCTATGTCCCTATTGTTTTCCCTCATTGCAAAGGATGCTTCTCGTTTCATTGAGGATTTTGGAGTGACGCTCTTGGTAGTAACTCCTTGGGAATATGTCGGACCGGTCGGACCCGCCCAAAAACTGCGCTTCGCATTGTTGTGTTTCAGTAGGAAGTCCGATCTCAGAAACCAACCAATTTGGAAGTCCATTTACCCGGCCTCGTAAACTGACAAAAAAAACAAAAAAAACTACTGGGAAAATCACAATGGCTATTAATGATTATTAATGGGAAAACTCATTATTTCGACTGGGCCATGGCTTCAAGTTCGCAAACTCTTAGTTTACCATAGGGTAAACCTCCATTTTCCTATGGTTTTCCTATGGTTTTTAGCTTTACCCTTGGATCAAACGTGGCTTGGAAATCCCCTCGAACGAAACTCGGCCAAGCCACGCCGAGGAACTGCCGGCGATCTGAGCAGCGCCGACGTGTTTACGACGCTTGGCATGTTGAGGGATGATTGGTAGCCAGCCTGTTTCTCCAAAGTATCAAACATAATCATTAAACACTATAAACATCTATAAACCACCAATGAGAACAGAAAGGGATAGACGGGATAGATCATGTCAAATTTGCTGGACTATCGCAAATTAACTGAGAAAGATCTTTAAGGAAAGGATCCACAACTAAAATTAACTGCTTCGAAATCACCAAACACTATGGTGGTCTATACCTTCCATAGATATCAGCATCGGCGCCTGCTTCATTCTCTGGAATGCAGTAGCCAACAAAGTAGCAATGACCTCAAGCCCAGGTGGACCCGGAGAAACTGGACGGAACCACAGTTCACGTCAAAATATTCAAAATGTATTCAGACAACCGAACCCAGACACAAAATCTGTGACATGTAGTGTGCATACCCTTGTGATATCTCCGTTTTAGATGGTTAAAATATGTTAAAATTCCATCACAAGGCTGGTGAAATCCCTCATAAAATGCACATCTTCCATGGCTTCTGGCAGGCCAGTGCTGCAGTGCTGGAAATCAACTGCTGCGCTTGCAGAGCTTGCGCTCGGACGTGCGATAGGGCCTGCACGCATGTGTGCCATGGTCAAGTTACATAGGGATTTTCATGGGTTACGGTCATCCTAAGCATTATCCCAATAACTCATTAATGACTATAATAACCATTATAAATATGGGTTAATGAGTTATTATTAATATGGATAATAGTTGCATCATTAATGAGTTATTATATGATTCAATTATTACTGTGACAATAATAACTCATTATTAATGTGATTATATCTCATTAATGACTATAATAACCATTATAATTGATTATTTATAACCGTTAATAACTATGAAACTATGACTATAGACTATAATTGATTATAATTGATTATAATTTAGAATGCATCGCTACCCTCTGGTAAATTAACATAGACCCTGGCAGATAGGGGTTGGAAGACTAGTTTCCATTAAAAATTGGTGATTTTCAGGGTCTATGTTTATTTACCAGAGGGTAATGGTTATTATTGGGTTCTAGTTGCATCCCCACCTGGAGCTCTGCAGCACACTCCTTCCGCCAACGTTGCACCAAGTCTTCACAGTGACGATGGCAAAAGGCCTCTGCAAAACTCCGAGGCCATGGAACGTGGCTGGGAAATCCCTAGAAATAGAGGATGAATCATGGGAAAATCATCTATAAATGGAAGATTAATCCCATCTGGGTAAATTAAAATATTTCACTAACCTGAATTAAGGCCATTTGGGGATAATTTCCCTTACTAACCATGATTCCAGTGAGGGAGACCAGTGAGGTCGTTATAATTTACCCAGATCCCACCACTATGGAGGATTTCATGGGAAAATGAGTGGGAGAGAACTATCGTAGCTACCATCTGGTTATGACTAACAGTTCGCCATGGAAAGATCCACCTTTTTTGAGAGGTAAGCCATCTATAAATGGGCCATTTCCCATGGCTATGTTAAATAACCAGAGGGTATCTGAAATCACCAAAAACAACCAATGTGTGTGATCCCACTCACTAGCATACCGTCCTGTGCCCTTGAGCCACAAACGCAATGTGATGTCCTTCCCATGAGGATGGACATGCTCAATATCAATCAATAAATTAGGTACTCTATGAACCATCATTGGATATAATTAGACAATTGGCTGTTTATTGATCCTTATAGAACATCCAATATCCATCAATGTTCAATAATCATATGCACTTTATCTAAGAATGATTCATATACAGTATATATATAATATACGTATGTATATTATAATTACATATAATTACAGCTGTCTTTGGTCGAAGCTCTAGTTGTTGTTGGTTCCAACTAGATCACGAAGTCACTCGAAGTGTCACGAAGTGCCACCTGGGAGTTCATCAGTAAGCCGCGAAGGCCTGACCGAAGAAAGCTTCCCAACCGTGAATATACTTTGGCAAATAGAACTCCTGGTTTCAATAGCTAACGCATATTCTAGATTATAATAGTTATGATCATGATATCAATAATCAATACAAAATATCATATCCCTTTTGACATATTTCTATAACTGGTTGGTTGTATACCTACCCCTCTGAAGAATATGAAAGTCAAATGGGATGATGAAATTCCCAATATGTGGAAAAAATAAAAGCCATGTTCCAAACCACCAAATAGGACTCACATCACATTGAACCCAAAATGAGGGAATACCATGACGTCATGTGCGGAGATGTTGATTACACACGCACCACAATCAAATGTAAACTAGAAATCTGAACAGGCAATAACACGATACAAACTACCAATTGCGAAGAGAACATGTTTATCCAAAAAACAAATACAAAAAGGACAAATCATTAAAGTGCGTGAAATATGGTATGAGTCATATAGGAAAGTATCTGAATGGGATGGGAACCAATGAAAAATGATAGAACACAACATAATCAACGTGACAAATGCCATAATCAAATCAACAGTAAATTATTCGTCACGTCTATGCAAACTATGGAAATGGCTCAGGAAAATGGTATGGTTAATTTTCATGCTGTACAAAGTTCGATGTGTTGTTTCAAACCTCGCCAAGGACGTGTGAATTGGGGGACCTGAATTTGCATACCAGTTTTGCCCAATGTATGCGGCTGTAACTCGTTCAGAGGCATGGATCAATAAACTGCCTCCCAACTATCAAAAGGGGACTTTCAAACCACGTGAAAATGATTTTCCAAATGTACGCAGATTCCCGTACCATCCTACTAAAAAGAACGAATAAATGTTTGAATTCGAAAAATGACTGGTTCCATTGAAGCCCTAATATCCACCTGTTGGCAAAAGAATACGGCATTATACGGCATTGCCTTAATATGAACATGGCAACAAATATATCAACATTGCAAAAATACAAACATATCTATTTCATTCTATTTCACCATATCAACGTTGCAAAAATATAAACGTATCTATCTCACCTACAGCAACCGTTTGCAATGATCAGTTGCACCCACATTTGGTACAGAACAGAATTTTCTGGAGACCGATTGGCAGATCAATTTCTATTGGAGATATTCCGGATTCCGAATCCACTTTGTCCCCCAGTAATCAGTTGGTTAAACACAAAATAACCTTACAGATATTCTATCTACAGAAACTATAGTTCCCCTCCGGAAACTAACAGTTCGCTATTGAAAATGGCCCAGTCCGAAATAGGTGATTTACCAATTAATAGCATGGTGATGTTCCATCGTTTTTCGTATGTTTACCAGAGGGTAATCTATGTTAATCTATGTTAATTATAGAATCCATGATAGTTAACTATATTCTATCTACAGAAACTATAGTTAATCTATGTTAATCTATCATTGGCTGTAAATCAACTTACCTCTTTTGATGGGTTCAGCTTGTAGTGTCACCGGGTTCAACGCTGCCTTGACGAAGAGAACTGGAGGTTTACCCACAACATTGTTTTCTAAATTACCATCTAGTTATTTAACATAGCCACGGAAAATGGCCCATAGAAATAGATGGTTTACCTATTAAAATGGTGATTTTCCATGGCTATGTTAAATAACCAGAGGGTACTCTTAAATTGGTACCCACACTAATGATAAACTTGAGGTTTGTTAATCCTGAATTAACATTCTGCTAAACCCCCATCAAATCCCAATTCTGGTTGGTTAACCAACATGATATCCAATTGAATCTCCATATTGCTGGCTATATCGCATACATCCCCGTTATATCACCATAAATGGATTTGTACCTGGGATTTATGGATGTTAATTCTTCGAAAAAAAATTGGGAAGCTCCTATGGGGATAAAATGGTTTTAGTCACCGTAGTAACATTAAAGTAATGTTGCTATGCTTTTTTAACCACCTATTCTATGGTCACTTGATAACGTAAACCAACTACTTATGCTTATTTATTTCGTGGCTTTTATGTCATGTTTAGTCACCATATTCTTCACATCAATCCATGCCCGACATCACACCCTCTGAGCGCTTCAGATCATCCAGGGTGATACTTTTGCCGATCCACGGCGCAGGCGCCAACAACCGCCTCGCCAACGTGGCATGGACTGAAGATGGGATCCGGACACCATGATGTCAAGTGGTAATAGAAATGTGAATATTATATATATATATATATACAATGTGGGCTATATATAAATGTAGGTTATAAGTACCATAAACCATAGTTATTGGAGTTATGTTCACCAACTTAGCTATCGTTTGGGTCCCACTTTGTATATATATATACATATATATATATAATTATATATTATATGGATATGATATGGAAATAAAACTGTATGTATGTGCAACAAGAAAAACGGAATTCCCAAAAAATGTGTTCAAATGATACATATATATATATCATATTACAGCTTTCCAACTACATTGGATTGCAGTAAATACATGTTTGCTACTGTAACATGAACAAATGGAATGCTAAAATTCAACATTTCCCTACAATGAGAAAAATATGGGGCGTCAACCATGAAATCATATCATGAGACCAAGCTAGAATTGGATGCTAAGCAACGGTCATGGGATACACTGGTTTTATTCTAGTATACCAGCTAACAATAATTGGGTCTTGTGGCAGGATCCAAAAGCATGCCCCCCATGAATCGTTAGATCATTACATAGCAATCGCTATGCCAAAAATAACTGACCCATACTGATAAAAAGGATAAAGGTTAATATATATATATAATGAAATTACCAATGTGCCATTGTAAATCATGATGTATGGATTATAGTCATTTCACCATTATTAAAATCCTCATATTGCCACTATGATTCTCTATCCCCCAATGTGTGTGTATACTTCAACTTTTGACCATGGCAAATGTGACAATGGACAGGGATTGGCCTACTTGGGTGCAGTTGGGGGGTATATTTATGGGTATAACTATTGTACTTGGTGGCTCACTACCCACTGCTCGTAAGTGGGTTAGTTCACCCCAGTTTTTTGAGTGGATTAACCCGCTCCAAAAATCTCATGTAAATCACTGGGGTGAACTAACCCACGAGCAGTGGGTAGTTCGCCACCAAGTAACCCACTGCAACTAGTGGAGCTGCACCCCACAGTACTCATCCAAGGGGAATGGCATCTCTAGGAGCCAGTGATTGCTTGGACGCTTGGAAAAACTCGGGTGCCATTTTATTGTGGTTCACTGGGATATGGCAAGAAGGCTATTCCAATGGTATACTATGGTATACTGGTATACCAACAATAGGGGACATGGATGGAAATGGGATGTCACATACTGTACACACCTCTGATTCAATGAGTCGCAAAAGGCGGTTTTAACACGTCATGATGTCAGCAACCAATGGATCTGTATACTAGAACCCACAAGCTGGATTGCAAAACACGGGGTTGGGATTTCATCAAAGTACAATTGGAAGTTTGCAATGCTTCCTTCACTTCCCTCTCTATTCGGGCTAGCCATGGCTAGCCTGGGGATCAATTCCAATGGATAGAGTTTGCAGTATATATCATTATAAATAAAACTGCCAATTTTGGGGTATTCCCTATTTCTTGGGGGAAAAAAAAACACTCCAAACAGATAATCACATGAAAACTAGCTTAACATTCCTAAGACAGATTGACATATTGACCGCGTGTTCTTGGTAGATCTTATTTCCCTTTGCATATCCCATTACATATCCCATTACATCCCCATTAGTTAGATTCCGGCATTGCATCCCCGTCTAAAATGTTCTTAATTTGATCATATTTTCAAACCCAATAAACCCCCTTATATTTCCATTGTGTTCCGGTTATCCCAATTATCTCAGTGTCTCTCTCTAACAATTCAAATCTGCCAGTAATGCGACAAAGCTAAAGCTAAACCCTACCTTTGGGGGGTGGGTTTTACCATCCATCATAACATAAGGGATCGTTTATAGTTGGCTTTACCACATTATGACCTCAACCCATAAAATCATTGGGATTGACCGTTAAAGTTCCATGAATCATATACCCTCTGGTAATTTAACATAGCTATTGAAAATTGCCATTTATAGTGTGTTTTCCCATTAAAAAATTGTGATTTTCCATAGTTATTTGTATGTTTACCAGAGGGTATTCCGGACGCTAGGTCCTAGGTCACGCCTTGCCAGGGCTTCCACAGGTGCCGCTGCGATGTCGATGAAGGGCAGGAGGAAATCCAAGAAGTCCAAGGGAGTCTGGCCATCGACATGAGAATTTTATATGGTGGCGAACTACCCACTGCTCGTAAGTGGGTTATAACATGTTATAACCCCAATTATGTGGGGATTAACATGGATTAACCCGCTCCAAACTTATCCCATGTAAATCACTGGGGTGAACTAACCCACTTACGAGCAGTGGGTAGTTCGCCACCAAGTACCATCAAAAATGGGGATTCAACGGCCACGACACACAGGATAAGGCCTGGGAATATGCACCAATAAATAGATTCATTCAGCATGTGTAAAGTGAGATGATGTGGGATGTAACATCATTCAGAATGGTGGTTAAGCAGCCAAAATGTTGATTTCGATTGATTTCGTCATCAAACATAGGGCTTTCACCCAATGGACTCACCCTCCCCATGGCCAAAGATGGCTGTGGCTGACAGGGTGCCATGATGTGCGACGTATATGGTTGCTTTGTGGGGCTCATATAAATGGATACAGTTAACTGACCATTACCCTCTGGTAATTTAACATAGCTATGGAAAATCACTATTTTTTTATGGGAAAATCCACTATAAACGGTCATTTTCAATAGCTATGTTAAATTACCAGTGTTACATTGTTGAAGCTTTTCTGTTGGTATTTTTTGGACTCCTCATTGTGATCGTGGGGATGTCCCGTTCAAGATCCTACAGGATTCACAAGGCCAACCCTGGAGCCTTTGAAGGTTTCAGCTTACTTCAGCTTGGAATGACTCAACTCAACCTGGTTGGTGGTACACCTACCCCTCTGAAAAATGATGGAGTTCGTCAGTTGGGATGATTAAAACATGTTCCAGTCACCACCAACCAGCAACTCATAATCTTCCAATATGTCGACGAGTTTCAATTCGTGTACATCCACGCCTTCACAGTAGTGGATGCCAGGACATCTTCAAAGACTCCAGCAGGCGATAAAGAGGCCAAATTTTCCAGCAGAAACAGGGCCTCCAGCTGCCAATCTTTGAGGAAAACCCTGTGAATTTGGAGGGCAAAAAGGAATTGGAGACACCCGCAAATAACTCAATGAACCGTGAAAGTACGTATTTTATACATCTACTTTACGTCTACTGCTGAAAATACTACACCCGCAGCCAAACATGACCCACATTTCTATGTGTAAACGCATTGCAGATCGGTGTACCAACGTTGGCGATATTCAGCGCCAAAGCGGGCGTTCTGCGATCAAAATTTCTGTGCCATTCTCTGGATTCAACCTCTCAAGATGGGTCAAAATTGGGCACTCTGAATCCATCAAAATCCACCTTTGGCCATGTGATAGTGGCCTGTTTGGACTCACTTGCGAGTCAAAAGCCTGGAAAACCGTTGTTATCCAAAGAATGAAATGCAAGATCCTGTCATGGAATGTTCATTGAATCTGTGGTGCCGAGTCTACATCTATCTAAATCAACGGCCAGAAATTCAATATGCTAGCAGCAATTCATTTAACAATTACAACAAAAGTATACAAACAGGGGATTTTTCAGGGTAACCTATTTTCATCAATTTTTCATGCAGTTTACCCATGTAAAACGGTTGGTTTATACATGTTTATACCCCCCGTTTCTGTTCGCTAAATATGATATTAAATATCCATTTGTTATGCCATGAACAACATGGAGCAAGGAAAAAAACATGCTTTTGCAGGGTAAAACATGGTAAAACTATGTAAACTCCCATTTTTCTCAGTTACATCCGACATGTTTCCAGTTGAACCGTCCGGCCTGACAACACTGGCGTTCGATCCAAACGTCCCTCGTTCGCCCGGCGGGCACCTACGTGCGAAAGCCGTGGAGCTTCGCGAGTTTGGCGGAAGTTGGATTGAACATGGTTCAAGGGGCATAATATATATATATAATATATATATAGTTATATATATATATTATATATCTGCTTCCATTTTCAGCCCCAACTCTGGAGTTTTCTGTTCTTTCCTATTACTTGAATCATATTCCTGCGATATTTGTGAGCTTCCCAAACATGCATCCAAGTATATTAATTTTCTCTGGAGGAAATGCCAATTCAAGTCCATTTGATGATGATAAGGTCGGATGGGAACATATCCAAATACACCACTTGCCGAAACTGCTATTTGAAACAAAATGGGTGTTGCCACGATGACTCCACTACTACAAGAGCAGTTCTTAGGACAAACATGACAAAAGGCATCAACAACGTTTTTTTCAGACCGTGACTTCAGGGACTGGAACTGATATTCAAAAACATGTGCTTACAAAGTGTTGAATATTGTAATGCCATCATCCACCACCGACTTCAGAAACTAGCCGAATTGATGAATGACAGCAACCAGTGTTCAACACCTGCGTCATATCATTTGCTACTCGTTTTCGTCTACGAGGTGTTTTGGCCCAAGAAACCAAGTTTTGACAAACAACCCAAGAATTGTTATATACCCTCTGGTGAACTAACATAGCTATTGAAAATGGCCATAAAAATAGTGGATTTACCCATTAATAGCATGGTGATTTTCCACAGTTTTTCGTATGTTTACCAGAGGGTAAATATCACATTGTCCAGACAAACTTCAAATTTTCCCGGAGTCCATGACAATCACATCGCAGTACGACAATCAAATCATGTTGTTTACTGGACATGTTGCACCATGTATTCCAAATTACATGTCATGTCCAAGCAAACTACACATGTAAGTCGTCCCCAACTCATTTATATATATATACATATGTATATCCATTTATGCTCCATTTTCTCCCACTATATGTCCATGATGGTTGGGTTGTCTTTAAACACCTTTTGTTGCAGAAAAAGAACACAAAAACATTGTTTGGGCTAATTTGGATAATTTCATGAAAACCACCGTTGTTCCACAGTAAAACACATCCCCATTGTCAATACTAAAACACTGTAAACCATATTTGTCATTTGTTTTAACAAAATGGTAAGCAATTACCATCTTCATACATATGTCGGCTGAAAACATTTTTTTTCGTCAAAAACATGACGATATCGATTTGTTTTTCAGACTTAAAACATCATTCAGAATCGGTTCATCATTTTTCTCAACTTCGATCAACGGCCATTTCAGGAACCTAAATTGGAGGTACCTACCATATATAAGACCTATGTAAGGGAATATTCCCATTGACCCATGAACCTTGGTCGATATTTGGTCGGCAACACCATGAACCTTGGACCCACCGGGAATGCCGCCTGCAGCTGCGTTGCCACCTCCAAGGCCACCTCCAAGGCCTCGCGTTTAGCCTGCACGTCCTGGGGAAAAGCCAAGTCACTGATGGATTCCTTATCATTGATGTGTATCTAGATCAATATCTACATAACTTTGTAATATATATATATATTATTATATGTGTTTGTAAATATAATTACTTTACTTCGAGTTATCCCCACAATGACATCTATACGTTTTGTTACTGGCAAATCTTCTGGCATTCTATCTGACATATCTTCTGGCATTTTATCTGGCATATCTTCTGGCATTCTATCTGGCATATCTTCTGGCATTCTACCAGGCATATCTTCTGCAATATGTTCGGGCATATCTTCTGGCACTCTATCTGGCATATCTTCTGGCATATCTTCTGACATTCTATCTGGCATTCTATCTGGCATATCTTCTGGCAAACATTCTGGCACTTTATCTGGCATACCTTCTGGCATTCTATCTGACAATCTATCTGGCATACCTTCTGGCATTCTATCTGGCATATCTTCTGGCATTTTATCAGGCATATCTTCTGGCATTCTATCTGGCATCATATCTTCTGGCATTCTTTCTGACATTCTATCTGGCGTTCTATCTGGCATATCTTCTGGCATTCTATCTGGCCGTTGAGGTCCGGCGGTGCTCACTGAGCTCGGAGGGTCCCAGGTTGAGGTCCAGCGGTGCTCACTGAGCTCAGACGGTCCCAGGTTGAGGTCCAGCGGTGCTCACTGAGCTCAGACGGTCCCAGGTTGAGGTCCAGCGGTGCTCACTGAGCTCAGAAGGTCCCAGGTTGAGGTCCAGCGGTGCCCAGTGGGCTCAGACCCTTGCAGTTGAGGTCCAGCCAGTGCCCACTGCGTGCGGAAGTTGGCGAAGAGCTTGGCGAAGAGTTGGCAAGGCGGAAGTGAACGTGGGAGTGGATGCAAAGGTGGTGGAGGAGAAGCTGGAGGAGAGGGAGGAGGATGAGGGGGAGGAGGCGGAGGAGGAGAACAACTGTGATAAAATCTAACAACCCTCACCTGGCAGGTGGGGAATATATATATATATATATGTTGTATGTATGTTATGAATCATTACCTTGTATATATATATACATATTTACTAAGGATCAACATCATGTATGGGAAAATATGGGTTGCTGTCTATAAATGATGGGTCAGTAATATTCCTCAAAAAATGAATAAGCAGTCATGTTTATGGACCGTATATATATATATATATATGTATTGAAACAAATCAATACTTACATAGATCAATATATAGATATATGCATATTTATATATTTATATGTATGTGTATATACATATATATATATACATACATACATAGTATATATAATTATATAATTAGGGAATATGTAGACATATATATATGGATAATAAATATATATATATATACATATACATAGTATATATAACTATATATATGGAATATGTAGACATATACATATGGATTATATATATGTATATATATATACACATACATACACATATACATACACATATACATATACATCTTATATATATACACATATCACTCCCTTGTCAGCGGGGGGGGGGGCATACCTAAATGTAAGATACACAGGGGCCTTGAAAATGTAAGTTTACATTCTCAAGGGTTCTCAAAGTATTCTTGATACCGCCCCAAGGAATGACACACAGCGGGACATCCAGCGACCAATTATACATTATCCGGTGTTCTTTGCATCACACCGTATCTATGATATAAATGTAAATATGTGTGTATAAATAGATATAGATATATATATATATATCAATATACATATGTTGTTTTAGACATCTACTAAAATGATATACACATACCAAACGACACAGGGATCTTCATCTCGCCACTCATCGCTCCGCGCGTTGCGCCGTGTCCTTTCCACTCAGTTGCTCGGCCAAGGTCCGGGCCAAGCCCCAATGTCGCCCAGCAGCTCGATGGAACTTCTCGGCTAAGGCCTTGGGACGGAATGAAAATACAGATGGGATGCAACATGTTATAATTTTGGGAAATTATTTCAAATGGGAAGATGCATGTCATAGATTGTAGTATCATTGGTAACATTTCAAATACTTCAGTCGAATTTGGCAATAGTCAGATGGGAAGAACCATGTTATAACTTTGGGTAAATATATGAAGAACCAATATATTGGGATACACACATGATATAATCTTCAACATACAGATGTAAATATGAAGAACCAAAGTTTTGAATTTTCTTTGAATCTTCGCTATTGACTCAGAAGCCAGCAAAGCTAGGGGTTAAAATCAACAATGAAACGTGTTTTAGTGATCAGCCGGGGTGAATATGAGCGAATTAGAGTGAATTCGTTCCACTTTTCATTGGGAATGGCAACAGCATTCTCCCAATCTCCTAAGCTATCATGTGGTTCGGAAACTCTATTCATAGCTCCAACTGGTCGCCCTTGGCTAATAAAATAAAGGGAATGTGGATCCCCCGAACTCAGCTCAGCGTGCCGCACCACTGGATAGTACAAGTCACCTTCAAAGCCCACAGTAGCTGGATCATTTCATCCCAAAGTCGCAGTGAAGTCGTTATAATTTACCCAGATATGATCTGGTTTGTGGTTTCAAACCCTCTGAAAAATATGAATTCATCAGTTGGGATGATGAAATTCCCAACTGAATGGAAAGTCATAATCCAGCCATGTTCCAAACCACCAACCAGTGATGGATCAAACGGTAATTGCGTTCCATATTTCTGGGACAAATGAACCTCCAAGCTGAGCTGTCGCTGCTGAGCTCCCGACAAAGTGACGGAAGAGGGCTAAGTAGTCGCCTTGTTCAAAAAGGATCGCACACAGAAGTTGGAATTCATAGGTGGGGATATGTTTGAAGAATGAATTGGATGTCACTTAGTCACCATACCAAGATTGTTGAGGTGTCTGAACATGGGATATACTAGCATTTACCCACCCAGTTTGGGCTATGCTAATATGAAATAATGTATTGTTATAATTAATCACAATTAATGGGGAACAAATGATTAACCAATACATTTCGGGGATGAAGATCCAGAAACTGCTAGATATTTTGGATGATTTTGCTGTGCCATCAATCTACTAAATCAATTTTTATGTGGGTAAAACTCAATTTCACAAAACATCCCCCAGTCATCACCAGTTTTATAGGTCGTATAAATAAACCATTCCAGTCATATACTTATGGCATTGTACCCTTAAATCAACAGAACTTCGGATCCTTTCCGCCATTACCGACAGATCCATCGCCTGCATAGGTCAGAAACTCTGCACGATCAAAGTCCGTGTCCACCTCTACTTGCAGATCGATGTCCTCGGCGTCACCTGGGTCCAGGGTACGATCCACGGCGGGAGAGCCTGTGGCCACGTGACTTTCATTACCCTCTGGTGTCATGAAACATGGCTTGCTGGAAAACGGCCCATTTATATATTATAGTATATAGATGGGTTTTTCCATTTAAAAAAATCATTGATACTGGGATTTTCAATTGCAATGTTTGATCACCACAGGGTAGTTGGAGTGTCTGTGACATCATATTTATGGGTTACTGACCTCACAAATCATCCTGGTTTAACTGGTGGATCTGGCGAATGTGGCGCTGTCGACTCCAATGCTGACACCTGTGACGTACGTTTTTTCATCCTTGAGCATGCTTGGCATCAACCACTACCCTCTGGTAAGCAAACAGAAAGCTATTGGAAATGGCCATAGAAATAATGGATTTACCCATTGAACATGGTGATTTTCCATAATTAGTTATATATGTTAGTTTACCAGAGGGTAAATTCTTCGAGAGTTGGATGAAGTCTCGATGTGATTTGTGCTGTTGTCCCCCACGTGTCTCCCTCCACGCTCACGTCGTCGCACTTGGGATGATTCTTCTTGTACAACCCATGAAAAACCATCACTGCCATGAAGGTATCCTGAAATACTTGGTGGCTCATCCCACTTAGTAAGTGGGTTATAACCCCAGGGATTTACATGGGATAAGTAGGGTTAATCCACTTATAACTGGGGTTATAACCCACTTACGAGCCATGGGATGAACCACCAAGTAGTGTCAATACGAAGTTCGCTTCGATGCTCTTTCATGGCTTGGATGTTCCGTTGGGGTATCCCCATGAAACAAGAAACATCCATTGAATCCATATAATCCATATGTATCCATATTTGTCATTTTGAATCTCCATGGTTCTCTATGTATCTCCATCTTCCACTCAATATCCCATGATATCCCACTAATATCACCATTCTGATTGCTTTTTTACAGTTCTTGGTTAAATATGCTTAAATTATGATACCCGAGTGTTACCCGCTGGTAAACTAACAAAACGATACAAAACTATGGACAATCACCATTTGTAATGGGTAAACCAAGTATAAATGACCATGTTCACTAACTTTTCCTATGTTTCCAGGTAAATTCCCCATGTTCTATGAATCTCCCCATCTCCGGGCATCTCCACGTGTCCCCACGTGCCATGGCATCGTCCAACATCTCCAGAAGCTCCACAACGCCGCATCCTTCGCCGCGCCGCAGCAGATCACTGACTTCGGCCAGGGCCAGTTCCTCAACGTGCGCTGCGCGAGGCTGGCCAGGTTAGGTCTATGTTAATTTAATGGAGGGTGTATATATATATATACAATGTGGTGCCCCCGTTCGATAGCTAAGTTGGTTTATAACTCTAATAACTAGGAGTTATGGCAGATATATCTATAGTTAATGGGATTACAAACCAACTTATAACAGGGGGGGCACCACCATGTAGACATATCTAAACATGTCTGCTGCAACCCCTTAGTTTGCCCGCGGCCAATCCCTCATATCTTTTGACATGCTCAAATCCCAGCGCAGGGTTCAAGTTCTTGCTTTCCAAAACAATCAACACCAAAACCCTAAAACCCTAAAACCTAAAACAATAAAACCTAAAACCCTAATTTAAAAACCTAAATTCTGAAAACTTAGTCAAAATCACTGCGTATAGCCAGTGTTTTCATTCATCCTCTGGTGAGAAGTATATCATATTGTGAGGATGTGTTGTTTGAGTGTGGGTGAACTAGGGGGTTGCAGGGAACATGTGTAAATGCCAATAAACATAGCCATTTCAATTTCAATAGTAAACATTGACATGATGAGAAACCTTGGGATTTGATGGGCAAACAAAGTCATATGATGCCTGTGGGTACCAAATCTTCGGCAAAAAGATGGGACATGACATATCCCACCATAGTGGAAGGATGTCGATGGTCCATTATCCAACCCCATCTTTGGATGACAATACCTCAGTGTAATCACTATTATCCATCAAGTAAACCTATCCTTCTCATTAGAGTCCACACAGCTATGGGTAAAGATGTCATTGGGTGCCCCTTGTTTTTTCATGCGAAATACTTGCAATGACCAGTCCAACTGCTATCCCCTATAGGTCTTAAACTTAGATCCATAGCCACTATGCACCGTTCCAGGCAAGTAACCAGCTCTCCAAAGGAAAGCTGTGAGGCCAAATGGTGCCGCACCTGCCAGGAAACTCTACAATTTGAAAGCAAGGGATGCGTCACGCAAAAGCAGGGATAGGCAGAACAATGGGGGGTAAAACAATAATAAACCATCCATTTGGGAATGGTTTTACCTATTTATGGTGATTTGCGGATTTGTTCATTATTGAGTTTTACATATAGTTTTACCCACATTATTCCTTACCATGGAGGGTATATAACACTTGCAAAACATTGTTGGTTTGCAGCTTCACAATCATGGCGTGGCAAACTCCTTTCAACCAATTTCGGCCTTCCAGAATTTGCATCTACTTGTTGTGTAAGACGTATCTGGCACATCCTTAACAATGGACTACAGTACCATGTCCCTTCAGGGTATAACCAACACTTCGCAAATCTCCACGCACTGTATTTGGTTCTTTTGAGATCTATCCTACTCATTCCTTGGGATATGACACTTTAGATGAGACATGCTGTCTTTTCAACATGTCGCAACCGATCTGATCCATGAAAGCTCGTTTTATTGGTCATATCGCCATGATTTCTCAATCCTTCCCCATCCAAGCACCAAACCCACAGGCAATCCATTCGCACCTGTCGGAAATGCTCTTCTAAGTCCTCATCAAAATGGAAGGTTTCCGGATATGAGTTTGTATCGAAATGGAGGAGAAACCAATTTGTGGATATTTGTGGTACCCCGATCTGCATTCCCCCGAAATCAACATCCGTCTGCCCTTCTATGCCCTTGTCCTGTGACATCTGTCGATGGCCAAAATATCCTGGTTGACATAGCCAGCGCTGCTTGGAACTCCACTATGTCATCATGCACGACATGGAAAGTTCAAACATGATCAAACATGAAATCGGGACAAGCAGTAGGATTGCAGTGCTTACATAATGTTTACAATTGTTTTTACATTTTTTGCACTTGAACCCAGCTAGTCCACCATCGAGTTCATACTACTGCCCATGGATATGATAATCAATTATCCTCATACGGTGCTTTGATCTCGGCATTTCTCTGTTGTTCCTGCAGGTAGGATGCGCTATCAACTCATTGACATTTCTGTTAACATGTCGCAGTGGAGCTGAATGCAGCTGAAAGAGCCATAAAATTATCCATTGTGTTTGCACGTTTGGCGCATTTTGATCAAATCAGCCTGCCACTTTAAACTGAGGTTTGACGGAAATATGTTGATGCAGGTGGTCCGTCTGCAGCAACTAGTTCTTAAGTATCGAGTCCATCTGTGTTTAGACAAGTCCAGTCTAGGTCCAAAAATAAAAAAACTGTGGAGAGGCCTGTTTTGACGCAGCTTCTGTGTGGTACGGCGAGGGTCGCGGTCATCTGCTGTTTGGATAACATGGTACAATTTTCCCTACAAAGGAGAAATACCTCCAAATCAGGTGCCTCTTCTTGGCAAACTTTGGAATCTAACGAAGTGAAACTATCAGCTTCTTGCCACAGGCTCTCTAGCCTGTACCTCTGTCCTGGCCGATGAACATTGAGTTGGGAAGACTTCACTGGTTCCTTGCTGCAATTTTCTGGGATGATCCCAACAACAATGTTCTAGGTTTGGTGATGTTTTCGGCATAGGTGTGTACATAACCTGAGCCAATGCGTAAAGTGGGTGGTTTGGACTCGCGTTTTTCAATGCAGTGGATTCCAAGGAGAAGGACTCCTTCTTGTCGCTCTCGCCCAGGAAAGCTCGGATGTTAATCAATGTTGGCCTCGTAAAGGGCGGTAGTCTGAAGGTCAAGACCCTGATGATGATGGTGATGATGGTGGTGACGGTAATGTTTATGATAATGAAAAGGACAGTGGTTAGATTATGATTGTGATGATGGTGATGATGATGACGATGATGGTGGGGATGATGAAGACTTATAGTGATGGTCATGATGGTGATGATAATTATGGTAATGATGGTGATGATGATGATGGTGATGATGATGATTTGATGGTGGTGATGATTTGATGGTGGTGATGATTTGATGGTCACGATTTGACGGTGATGATTTGATGGTGATGATGATGATGATGATTTGATGGTGGTGATGATTTGATGGTGATGATTTGACGGTGATGATTTGACGGTGATGATGATGGTGATGATGATGATGATAATGATGATGAGGAGGAGGAGGATAAGGATGAGGACGACGGCGAGGATGATGAGGAGGAGGACGACGACGACAATGATGACGACGACGATGATGGATGGATGGATGGATGGATGGATGGATGGATGGATGGATGGATGGACGGACGGACGGACGGACGGATGGATGGATGGATGGATGAGAAAATGAATGAATGAATGAATGAATGAATGAATGAATGACTGAATGACTGAATGACTGAATGACTGAATGACTGAATGACTGAATGACTGAATGAATGAATGAATGATGGAATGAATGAATGAATGAATGAATGAATGAATGAAAGAACGAACGAACGAACGAACGAACGAATGAATGAATGAATGAAGGAAGGAAGGAAGGAACAAACAAACGGACAAATGAATTATGATGGTGATGCAGATGGTGATGGTGATGATGATGATGATGATGATGATGATGCTGATGATGCTGATGATGATGATGATGATGCTGATGATGCTGATGATGCTGATGATGATGATGATGATGATGCTGATGCTGGTGGTGATGGTGATAGTGATGGTGATAGTGATGGTGAGAGTGATGGTGATGTCGGTGATGATGATTATTATGTTCTCCATCAGTGGTACTGGAATTCTGATTTCAGTATGATTACTGCTAAATTGATGATCATACATCACAATCACAATACTGAAAATGTTTGTGATGAAATGAGACCACCGGTCATGCACATTGTGATTTAAATCGGCCTTGCCACAGATTCAACCATGTCGCACAAACTACGGTTGCAGCACACTCGTTGCACAGCATTCTTTTCTCTGTGTTCTACGATGTGGCCGTAGCCATCAGGACCTTAAGCATCGTAGCGGAAAGTAGGGACTTTATGTAGCGATCGAAGTTGCTGAAGACCACTGCCAACGCATTGGCCCCATTGTCATCTATGAAACCTTTGAACCAACGTTCGGCACCCACTCCCTTTATGGTAATCCTGAAGGATTCGTTGGCCGTTCCTTCCCAAATCTGGTACTTGTCTGCTGCCACAGAGCTTTGAGCCCTGGCAGCTGACACGTTCCACAAAGCCTGGCATGTGGCTTCCAGCATCTTCGTGCTAACCCGGTGTCCACCGTTCTCAGGATGGGACAAAGAACCCTCACTGCGAATCAGTTCAAAGGGACGCTGCAAGTCTTCAATCGAGAAGCCTCGAACAAACTCCAGATGCGCGAAAATGGCCACTACAAACGCACAACAACAACAACAAGTAAGATCCAGGGAAAGATTTGGCTTTCCCTGGATCTGACTTGTTGTTGTTGTTGGACATTTGTAGTGAAGCCATTTTCGCGCATCTGGAGTTTGCTCGTGGCTTCTACGATATGGATAAACAACTTAAATGGTATTGGATGCCGGCAGCGGCTATCCAAAAAGTCAGCGCCGAAACCAATGCTGATCACCACCATGCTCCCTGAGGAGCCTAGGTACAGCCTCATGACGGTTTGCCCTAGCAATCATCAGTGCTGTCCTGCCATCGTGCATTGCTATGCATTGCTGCCCTCACCTCAGCAGCATGCTGTAGCAGCAGCTTGGCCACGGCCTCATGGCCACCTTGGGCAGCAAACATCAAAGCTGTGGCACCATCGTCCTCTGCTGCCCTCGCATCAGCACCCTGCTACAAAAGCAGCTTTGCCATGGAAGCATTGGATGCCTGCAGCAGCATGCTGTTCAACCAGGCTCTTCTCTCAGTTTCTGCAGCATCATAACTGCTCCTGGAAGGCAGCACATGGCCGCTGAAGCAAAGTCGCCCCTAGCCATCAGGACCTTAAGCATCGTAGTGGAAAGTAGGGACTTTATGTAGCGATCGAAGTTGCTGAAGACCACTGCCAACGCATTGGCCCCATTGTCATCTATGAAACCTTTGAACCAACGTTCGGCACCCACTCCCTTTATGGTAATCCTGAAGGATTCGTTGGCCGTTCCTTCCCAAATCTGGTACTTGTCTGCTGCCACAGAGCTTTGAGCCCTGGCAGCTGACACGTTCCACAAAGCCTGGCATGTGGCTTCCAGCATCTTCGTGCTAACCCGGTGTCCACCGTTCTCAGGATGGGACAAAGAACCCTCACTGCGAATCAGTTCAAAGGGACGCTGCAAGTCTTCAATCGAGAAGCCTCGAACAAACTCCAGATGCGCGAAAATGGCCACTACAAACGCACAACAACAACAACAACAACAAGTAAGATCCAGGGAAAGATTTGGCTTTCCCTGGATCTGACTTGTTGTTGTTGTTGGACATTTGTAGTGAAGCCATTTTCGCGCATCTGGAGTTTGCTCGAGGCTTCTACGATATGGATAAACAACTTAAATGGTATTGGATGCCGGCAGCGGCTATCCAAAAAGTCAGCGCCGAAACCAATGCTGATCACCACCATGCTCCCTGAGGAGCCTAGGTACAGCCTCATGACGGTTTGCCCTAGCAATCATCAGTGCTGTCCTGCCATCGTGCATTGCTATGCATTGCTGCCCTCACCTCAGCAGCATGCTGTAGCAGCAGCTTGGCCACGGCCTCATGGCCACCTTGGGCAGCAAACATCAAAGCTGTGGCACCATCGTCCTCTGCTGCCCTCGCATCAGCACCCTGCTCCAAAAGCAGCTTTGCCATGGAAGCATTGGATGCCTGCAGCAGCATGCTGTTCAACCAGGCTCTTCTCTCAGTTTCTGCAGCATAACTGCTCCTGGAAGGCAGCACATGGCCGCTGAAGCAAAGTCGCCCCTAGCCATCAGGACCTTAAGCATCGTAGTGGAAAGTAGGGACTTTATGTAGCGATCGAAGTTGCTGAAGACCACTGCCAACGCATTGGCCCCATTGTCATCTATGAAACCTTTGAACCAACGTTCGGCACCCACTCCCTTTATGGTAATCCTGAAGGGTTCGTTGGCCGTTCCTTCCCAAATCTGGTACTTGTCTGCTGCCACAGAGCTTTGAGCCCTGGCAGCTGACACGTTCCACAAAGCCTGGCATGTGGCTTCCAGCATCTTCGTGCTAACCCGGTGTCCACCGTTCTCAGGATGGGACACAGAACACTGCGAATCAGTTCAAAGGGACGCTGCAAGTCTTCAATCGAGAAGCCTCGAACAAACTCCAGATGCGCAAGAATGGTTTCACTTGTTGTTGTTGGGCATTTGTAACGCTGCCACAGCCACCATTTCAGCGAAGCCTTCTTTGCTGACGCGTTGACCAGTCATGAGACGTCGAGGACTACGGAGCGGCAGCCCAGGAGGACGGCGCGGCGACCACGGACGGCGTTCCGCCATGGCGGTCACTAAAAACTACGCCCAAAACATTATTTTGGGAGGATAAATGCTGAGGATAAAGTAAAACATGAGTCCCTTGGCCCTGTCTTGGTCCCATATGATACACTAATCACTGAGGAACAAAAGTCGTGATGAATTGAAACAGAAATATATCTCCAGCTGACATTATCATAGCTAGATATCCAGGGATTCCTTCAAATATATCAGATTCATAGATATCCTTCCACAACAACGCCATGGAAAACCACGCATCTCCGCCCATCTCCGTTGTTCGGCACGGCACCTTCGCCATTCGTTGCTTCGCTCCGGTCGGATGCCTCGGTGCCGTGAAAATCCATGGGATGCCTCGGTTCTGTTTGAGGGGATAAAAGAAACCATGGTTTATTTGTTTATCCAATGGTTAAGGGATGTTAAGGGGGATTCAAAAAATGCGTGGGATTTTTTGGAGCGCTTTCGGCATATTTTCTTTTAGGATAATCCAACTTTTTGATCAATGATAACCAATGATAACAATGTGATGATCTAATAAGTTTGGTCTCAAAAAATGGGAATCCACCATACAAAACAGAATTTGCAAACGTGCAAACAACATACCCTTGATTGATGGCGAGTCATGTTTTTGCCACGCCAGGTGAGACCTCCAAACATGGCGGAGCCCAGGGTCTCTTAAGGTCTCATCTTCAGCAAACAATCAGGGTCCAACCAGTCCAACGCAATTGCACACAGATTGACATCGTTTCCAGGGCACACAACTCCGAGATACTTCGAATCTGTTTTCACAGATGTTGATCTCCAATAATACCATCCATGTGGGCACCCTGTCTCGAGATGTCCACCAAAATTCAAAAGAGTATGCCGAGACTTGAGACTTAGCTGGTTTTGGTAATAAGAATCATTGCAAGTTAATATGTGTACATATACATTATTTGAAAAAACAACGTGTTATATGCATGTATTTATATATATAATATACTATATACAAAAATTATTCCCATGATTTCCCATGTAACTGATATGGAACAAATGCAATGTTTTTATTGAAACTGGACCCCCGAAACGTACCCGTATTCATTCTGATCCCGGACCATCCACGCCGACGGTCCAACCAGTGTCCTTCGTTTCGGGAAGGCCGTGAAAATGTCCAAGGAAACAACGTCTAGGTGAGGTAGGTTGAAAACGCTTTCCCTACTATGGATTGTGACAGTGGTTTCTGTACTATCTGGTAGGGGTTTATTATGGTTTATGAGGGATAACTACGTATATTATTGGGGATGATCACATCAGTATGATTCAGCATGATAGTGGTTACTAACATATGACAATTGTGATACTTATAATCTAATATGGGGATGGGTCAAAACCCTGATACCTAGTGAACCCCAAAATAGCTGGCAAATGGATGTTCATCCCACTAAAAATGGTATTAATAGGTATTGACCCATACCCATATTACATCATCCCAAATAGTGCCCAAAAAATGGTATTAATAGGTATTGACCCATACCCATATTACATCATCCCAAATAGTGCCCAAAAAAAATACTGGTCAGACAAAAACTTCCGAACTCATCATCAACCGACAGGGCTCAAATGCAGCCACTGTTCAGGTGAATGTTTCGAACCCTCACCAAGAGAGAAGACGTGACAAAAATCTGTTGGGAAATATGTCAATGATATGCAACTTTTACATCCCCATTGGTTCGAACTGCAATTTGTTCTACAGTATATGTGAATGGCGGACAAAATCACTTGTTCATTTTCATGCAAGGCGCAAATTAGGGTCCCCTATCTTTTAGTGAGGATTTCTGCGTTCTCAGACTTATCGGTAATGAAAGTTTCACACACCCCTCAGCAAGGCCAAGGGCAGGGGTATTTTTGTCGGTTACTCATATGTTCAAATTTGTGTAGAAAGACGCATAGCTGTGAACACCCAGAAGCCATTCGAATGTGGGAAACCACTACCCTCTGGTAAACTAACATAGCTATTGAAAATGGCAATTTATAGTTGATTTACCCATTAACAATGGTGATTTTTCCATGATTTTCCATAGTTATGTTAGTTTATCAGTTGGTAACTATTGGAAATGAACGCTGTGAATAATATAGACCATCTACCAACCGGTGCAGGATTTCACAACCACCCACAACCAGAGTAGTTCTGTTGGTTTTCGCTGCCATCAAAGTTTTGCACCGTCTCCACTAGACTTTGATGGTGACTTCCCATCAAATCATTAACAAATACGATTTTCATGTGGTTACAATGCCATTTTTACTACCCATTTTCCTGGGAATGGTTGGTAAACATGCCACCTATCTGATTTATGGATATTTATGGTATGGTTTTTACAATACCACCTATATTTAAAAAAATGCTGCTGTGGGGGATGGTTTATGACGTTTTAACCAATGAGTTTCTCACCAGCCACAATCTTCACCGTCGGAGTTCCCCGGGAACCGAACGCCCACCAAAAGGTGACCGGGCGATTGGGGGCCATCGATGGCTGCTGGGCGGATTTCCGGCTTGAAATGTTTGTAGATCATACGTCATTAGGTGGTATCATCTCATACTTTATCCACTAAAAATCCACTAAAAATCCACTAAAATTCCACCTGTACTGATGATTACCTATGTTCTTTTTTCGATCGGTGACAGGGGGTGATTATCCCATTAAGAATCATACCATATATCCATGTCCCCATTCTTTGGGATTTTAGACCTCCTCTTCTGCTGGTTACCACCCCCCAAATTAACAGTTCGACCATGCCATAAGTTGAGGGTTGGAAGATTAGTTTCCACCAAAAAGATGTTATTTTCAGGGTCTATGTTAATTTACCAGAGGGTAATGTTAATGATACTTTGGGTCCCAAAATATGGATATCATTGAGATAATCTATATCTACTGGGATAATGTTATTTTCAGGTTTGAACTCTCCTCTTTTGCGGGTAAATCCTAATATAGATCCATGAAATTATGTGTAAATCACCATAAGTCACCATTATTCACCATGATTTTTCCCACTTTAGGAAATTCAGACAAATTACCATTGCAACTCCAAATTGCCATTGGTCTTAGGGGTTGCTTCATGTTTCCTGCTCTCTCAAAAGCATATCTAACCACGGGGAAATCCCAGTACATCCCATAACATATCACCATGGTCATTCTTCTGTATTTTAGACCTCCGATATTCTGCTGCTATTAGCACTATGAGTTTTCCATTTGCATACTTCAAGCAGAATGGGGTTCCCACGGTGATATCATCAACGTTTGATTCGGTTCCCATCACCATGGTTCCATGTTCCATTTATATATCACCATTAGTTTTTGGAATCAAGCAATGTTTTTTCATATCCACTATGGAAACATTTATATCCACTAATTAATGGTCATTTATCTTGAAAAAACTTGAAAAACGCTGTTGTTTTTTCATTGTGATCTCATCATGAGTTTTCCTTTTCGGAAAATGCCCTTGATTTCCTCTGTTGGTTACCATGGGGAACATGGGGGAAACCATGGCTCATGGCCCCGACGGAGCCGGCCTCTTTGGTCTTGGTCTTGTTCTTCTTTCGTGCGGGCTTGGCTGTCACCTCCTGAGAAGGAAAGGCAAAAAACATCAAACAACGCTTGTTTGGAGATCCGGATATCCCAAAAGCAGGGGGAATCCCCAAGGTCGTCAAAATCGGAAATGATGAACATGTTTCATATGTTGAATATATTTAGAATATGTTGAATGGAAAAAAAAAACCTTGAGAAAGCCTCATGTGGCGGCGAGAAGACTATCAAGGCCTTTCTGATTGTTGTGATAGCAATAAGCACACTATTCTGACATAGCTTCTGGCATATCATCTGGAAGTAGATATGGCATATAATATGTGTATATATATATATATATCATTGTATATATATGACATTCTATTTGACATTCTTTCTGGCATAAACTCTAACATTGAATCTGACATTCTTTTTGGCATTTTATCTGACTAACCAGGAAAAGTATTTCAAATTTGGTGGATTTGGTGGTATTTTCAGACAAACCATCAAAAACGATGCAACAACTACAAGGTGCCACTGTTACATCTGGTCCCTGTCCTCGTCAGTGAAACCCAAGGATTGCATGG